GAAAGGTGAGATGAGTCAAGAGTTCAAGTTCACTTTAACAATAACTCAGAAAGAGACTTACCCAGTATGTGGCAGCTTCAAGCTTTAAAAAAGTTCTGCAAATACAGAATAAAGATGGATACAAGAGAAACCCCCGGTCCAAAGAACTTCCTCACATATCCACAAAGGGTGAAAAATCTCAAGCCATTCCTACAGCAAAATGTTTGTAGCTTTTAGTCTTTTCATGAAATGGACTCACAATCAATTTAAGCCCTATTAGATACGACCTTGGATCAAGATAGTAGAAAATTAGTTTATGCATGTGTGAGGTCATAGAGAAGCAATAAACCAAACACTAACTTATCAGCACACTTCACTATAACACACATTTCAGAGGGAGACAAATAATACCAAAGACATCGCTGCATAGTCTTTATTTGGAATATATCAGTCGGAAAAAGGAAAATAAAGTGATAAGGTAAACATGCACAGGAATAAGTTTTAAAGTAGAACATTTCAATCACACGCTCAGTAACTGATGATGGATTACTGCTGCGAACTCGTCTATCATTAGAAGGAGCTTTCTTCACCGAAGACGCAAGTCCTTAAAACTCACCAAATAATCAATAACATTAATCAACCTCAAGTTAGGAAAACCTAAGAAGAAATAAAAAGTAAACTTATATCTAATAACTTTTTTTTTTTTGTTCCACCACCTCATACTCTTCAAATATCCGCCCTCACAGCTAAAGACTGTGGAATTCCTTAAACATAATTTATAATAACCGTATCACCCTTACATTTAAATTAACTTGATTTCACATCCACTATAACTTTATTGATTTAATTCTCTGATTATTTTTCCTTCCAGCTCAACCCAGTAAAATACTCAAGAGTATTCTGGTCCCTTTAGAACAACTCACCCACTCTTAACTTTATATACGTCTAATGATTAGCTTTCATTTTTATATTAGTCTTACAGTAAATGACAGAGCCTTAAGTTGTATAATATCTATTTTTATGTATTCATTGCAACTGATTCAAGATCACCAACTAGAATGCTGTAAAAGCATCCAACAGCTTTGTGATTATCATTTCAGTTTATAGCCCTAAACTGACCCCTAGTGGAGAAATAAGATACTGCAGGAAGAAGAAAAGGATAGCTCTGTGCTCATATGGAGCATTCAGTATTTAGTTTAACTTGGATGCAGGACATGCATGCTGCTGAAAGTTGAACCAGCCTCTTCTCATCATCATCATCATTCATCGGGGACAGCTTAAAGGTTTTGGTCGTTCTCGTGGAATTGGTGAAGGTGGTCTGCATACCTGCGATTAATAGAGAACTTCAGTTAACAAAAAAACTTCACTGCATCATCTACTGTGCTCACATGATTAAAAGGGTTTACTCTTTTTTTTTTACTCAGCTGCAGGATGAGCACACTCACTTTTGAGCACAGAAAGTAGCGCAGTCCCGGCCGATGCTCTCGCTCCAAGCAGTCTTGTACAGCACCTGAGTGAAATCACAGGGAATAGTTTAGATCAGCTGAAGATTCAGAACCAATAAAAAAAAGGTGCATCAGAGGCCTCTTGCAGGTTTAAAAGATGTCCTACCAAGAAGACCAAACAATGTAGGAACAGGGTGTAGAAGAAAGCGATAGTCCTGGCCATCTTGTTGGAGAGAATCACACGACCCTGAGTGAGAAGAAGGGGAAGATGAGTCAAATCATTTAATCACATACATGAAGGCATATTGTTTTACTGCAGCACTTTGTTCTGGAGATCCCCTGATGATCTCTTCAAGGGCTTTATCTCTGTTTGAATTCACTGTTATATGCTATATGATGGAGATGACAGATGGAGGATGTCTTGGTTAGCTGTTAGTTTATCTCATATTTCAAGATATGAATCTGAGAGAAGTTGAAAGTGTCAATTTATGTGTGTGTGTGTGTGTGTGTGTGTGTGTGTGTGTGTGTGTGTGTGTGTGTGTGTGTGTGTGTGTGTGTGTGTGTGTGTGACCATTACCAGGCTCAGAGTGGCTTTATCCCAGGGACTCAGGCTTTGGTATCGGCGTTGGCGCTCCTACAAACAAAAAGCACCGTCTTAGTCAAACACTTTCAGGATCATTTTTCATGACAGACTTTTTCTTAGCATTAAACATAAAGCCAGTCTTATGTGCTCAGTGTATTCATTTCATTGAGTTATTTTGAGGATTCTCTGTAAAAGATGTAACTTTCCTGGACTTGCCTCGTCAGTCTCAAATTTAGCTCCTACATTTCCCAGAATGACTTTTAGCAGAGCTCCAGAAATAAGCAGGAACGTGTGCCATCATCATGCATTCATACGTTACAGTGGTTAAAAATCAAAAGGACAACAGTAAAAGTAGATGTTTCTCAGTTTGGTATGTTGCCGCCTGGTCTAAAATGGTCTAAACATTATGAATTACTTCTGGATGGCTGTTTTCTGTCCACGCCAATTTTAAAATCTATGAATAATAACTTGTGATTCTGTAAGACTGACACGAGATCAGGCTGTAGAGTAGCTGTGCTGGAAGTCTGTTTAAAAGGAGCTTGCAGCTTGATTCAGAGAATATATTTTTTTAAATCAGTGAGTGTCTTGTACCTTCTTGCTGAAGGACGCAAATGGATCCAGTCTCTCCTCATACTGTGAGGAGTAGCGCATCACAGTGTCATCGCTCCCTCCAGCCTACAGCACAGAGGAAACAAACAAGATACTTCAGGTTTTAGACTCCACCGAATCTTTGTGGAAGTCATACACACAGAGCTCATTCATTCATTCACACACTGACGCACTCTGCCAGGGTAGCTCTGCAGGAATTTGATTTTCTCGTAGAGTTTGATGTTATCTGCACGCAGGCTGTCTAATTCGGTCTGCAGGACCTGCATGGTCTGCTGCATGGAGCGGTTCTCCTGCAGAGGAAACAAAAGGGATGAGGAATCAGTCCCCCCCACGTCAAAGCAAACAAAAAAAGCTCATATGACGTGCGAGAAATTGTGACTCACGGTTTCCAGCTCCTGGTTGCGGGAGCGAAACCTTTCCCTTTGGCTTGAGATGATGGAGAGCAGAGAGTCCATCTGGCCCTGAGGCATCTCAGGGTGGAGGCTCATACCTGAACCTGGACATAAAACAGATAATAGAAAGTAAAGGGTTGTCACTTTAATCTTTTAAAGCATAAATGTTGTGGATTTAGGGAAAGGAAAGGGTTAATTTCACTGTATTATGTGGGTCAATCAGGTGCTTGCATCTGTTTAATTTGCAGACAGGATGTGTCAGTCTAAATCTAGTTAACACCTCGAAACTTTAATCGTTCCTGATTGTCAATTGTAATAAATAAGGCTCTTTAATCCCTCTAATCAGGCTGGTTTGCAGCATTTACACAGACGCACCTCCTGTGGAGCCTCAGCTCAGCAGGTTCACCTCAGTTCAATCACAGATGTTGTGCCGTCAGCAGTCAGACTTCACATTCTTCACTGTTTTGTCTGCGACACTCACATTCACGTCGTCTCGCATCTTTTTTAGAACAAAGATGTTCAACGTGGGAATCTTAAAGCTTCAAGACTTGGAGATTAATTTCAGAGTCTAAGACGTACGATACAATTAATAAGAAGAAGTAGATAAGACTGACACATGTCTGAGAGGGTCGTTTAGTACACATTACAAGTAGCCTGAACATTTGTTTTGAAAAGAAGCCTCCTCTTTTTAAGGACAAAATGAAGCTCCTCTTTTCGTCATGTTGTCTTTCTTTTTAAAAACAGAACACTCCAGTGCAGCCAGTTTGAATTTCCCTTCAAACACAGAGTTTAGATTCTCTGTTACAGGACCACAGGATGTATTTCTTCACTAAACTTCTTCTCATGAGGGAGAGGCTTCTACAGGAACACAAAACATTCTCATGTCAGGTAGAATGTGTCACCTGTTTCCTACATATATAGGAAACAGGTGTTGTCAGGCAAATCTATGCCTCACTTGCAGTTTTAGCAATATTTGAGCTAATGTGTGGGGACAATGTGCTCCATGTTTTTGCAGATTAACTTGCTGAATATTAATTCTGCCATTAGACTGACAACAGATATGTGGATGTGAATGTGTTACGTAGAGACATACAGTAAATGTTTAGGATCAAATGCTGTGCCTGTCATATTCCCGAAAAGGAACATTTTGTTTATGTTCGTCATTGGTTGGCCCTGGCTAATTCCTAATCCTTTTGTCCACTGGTGTTGGTTTGTGAAATTTATCATTCAAGTAATACAGCTCTGTGTGTTTATAGAGCGGATGGGACACAATTTAATGTGATTTTTCAATTCAGGTGTGAAGTTTAAGATTATTTTCTGGGCTTCTTTTTAAGAATGTAAGGCCAGCGGATAGAGAATGAGAGAAAAGGGAATGACATGCAGAAAAGTGCAAAGAGTGTGACTTGAACCCGGCCCGCCTGTTCCCAGGACTATAGTCTCTGTACATGGGGTGTGCAACATAACCACTAGACTATCTGGCGCCCCCTGGAGGCAACTTTTTTTTTAATCTAGCGACATACCAGCAAACATTGCAGTGGCCTCTTTGATGGGCTCCGGGATGTTCTCCATGTTGCTGACCTCCGAGCCCTCTGCGTCGGGGCGGGACAGGGAGGACATGGCCTGAATGGTGCTCAGGTCATGCTCCAGCTTCAGGATCAGCTCCTTCTGCTCGGCACTGGTCCTCACCGCCGCCGAGAACTCCACCTGCAGGTCTGCGTAGCGGCCTGTCGAGAACAGAATGGAAAATCTGTGAATTTGAAGTTTCTTTTTCTCTCGTTGGATTTTTTTTTTTTTATTTTTTAATGTTTTCTCAAAATAACTCACCTTAGGAAGGTGTACAAGACAAACACATCCAGAAAGATATCCCCTTACTCTGAGTATGTCTTACTGAACTCATCTCTTTCTCTGAGAATACTTCTTTTACCAAACACGTGTTCAACATTTACAACAAGAAAAAAAAAAAAAAAAAAAACAACCACGGCACACTTTTAGTATTTGTATAAAAGAGATTTACTTCAATTATCACACCTAGGGTGCATGTGAATAATAATGATGATGAATCAAATGTCAATCATAACAAATACATTGTGAACGTTTCATACAGTGATATTGCTTTTCAATGTTGTAGAAGGGACTGTTTTACAGTGCTGAGAACGAACAACATGATACGTTTAGTAAATAGAAAGATAAAGAAACGATGATACATAAGGAAACAAAAGGGGGAGGGACACCCCGAAAGGAGAAAAAAAAGCATCTCAGGAGTGACAGAAGTGCTAGGGAAACATCTTTTGAGAAAGAAAAACAACATCTTAACCATCCCTTTACAGTCATGCAGCCTTTTGTACTACAACACACATGGACACGCACACACACACACTCACATATAAAAAAGAAAAGCAGTGGGATAAGTTATGAAAATTATTACTTCCACGTTCTTGATGACAGGTTGGAAAAAAAAAATCGTCTAAATCACTCTGTACTCGCTAAAGCCTCAACAAGCATCTTAAAGCTTTCCGTAAGGGGGCGGTGTGTAGGGGGGGGGGGGGGTGGATCTCTCCCCCCGGGGTCATTTGGTTGTCAGACTACACTGTGGTTTAAGCTATGGGTGAACTGAAGCGACGACACAAGGTAGCAACATTCAGAGAAACTGTCAGCAACCTTTCGACAGAGGTGGAGAACTATTTCACTATTTGGCTTTTTGCTTCCTCTTTTTTTTTCTTCTTTTTTTTTCCTTTTTTTTTTTTTTTTTTTTAAGTCTTGCGAGCGTTCGCTGAAATGTTTTTATTGATCCAGAGTTCGTCTCTGGGAGTTTAAATAGTATGGTGAAGCATGAAGAGGACATGGTTTAAGACTCAAAAATTAGCTGGAGCCAATGTGAGAGGTGAGCGAAAAACACACAAAAAAGCACGCAGGTCAAAGTGAAAGGATGGGGGATGGGGGGGTTTAGAGGATGAGTGTATTGTGCTGTATAATGTGTGTATGTATTACTGAGTGTGCTATGCATACAGCACCACTGATTCGGAAAGTGTTTCCGTACAAAAACCCACTTCATAAGATATATTCTAAAAGTATTACAAAAACATCTGAGGTTTTTCTCTCTTTTTTTCTTTTTTTTTTTTCCTGAATATGGTGACCAGTGCTGCTGTTCGGGCTTCCATTACAACTAATATGTCAAATGAACAACCAGTACTTCAACAGATCATACAGTAAAGCTTTACAACTTCAGAAACATGATATGATATACAGCATCTGTTACACCTTTACAATGTTATTCAACAGTGTATAGAATCATCTGATTTAAATTTGTAGAAAAATATCTGTGGATCATGGAAAAGTCCTGAATCGTCCCTTCTCTCCTCCTGCCTTCAAAACAAAAGCATACTGTGACAATAGTGACTCAATAGCTACTTGATCGACTGTATTTACACGTCTCTTTTCCAAAATAACCATTCCAATTGGCACACATCATTATCAATACCTGTAGTGCCACTTATTAATGTCACAGCAAACCTGACACAAACAGAAAAATACAAAATGCCCTATGAATAAATTCAGTGTTATTACAGTGTACGCTGTTTCTGCATGCTTCCTCCTTCATTCAATGCTCTGGCCTTTTGCTGCTAGTTAGATTATGTACAATGGAAGAAATGCATTGTGGGAAAACAACTGTCTGGGGGAAAAAAAAAAAAAAAGACCCGGACAGAAAAACAAGTCGACAGGTCAGTCATGAGAATACACAAGTTCATTTTTTCTTCTTTAAGTTCCTTTTTCTTTTTTTTCTTTTTTTAAACGCTTCACCGCACTCCAGCGATTATACACAACCCTCTCCGGAGAGCTGAGACTTCAAAGTACCAAAATGAAGAGAATGAGAAATGGATTTGGATCAAGGAGTGGGATATATATTATGACCGAATCAGGTGAAAACATCGACATCTAATGACATCACTAGTTTGGTGCCCTGCTTGGCAGTTAAAGGCACAAATCTGATGATCTCACATGGTTCGGGTGAGCTGATGGATCTGGCTATAAAACGGGTAATGGGTTAAGTGCTTATACTTTACAGTAGCTATTCATCACCATGAAACACACTGCGGTTGTCCAGTCTGAGCAGTCCGACACAAGGCAAGAAGCCCTCAGTGTTTGCAGAAGACAGATGTTTCACATCAGTCGTCCACAGGAAGAGCCAATGTTTGTAGAAGTTTACAATTATTAGATCCATTAGAAAATCCAATTTTACCTAATGCATCTTAACGCAGTGCAATGGGGTTATCAGTTTGTCTGACAGGCTGCCGATACATCTACATGACCAATAAGGGGAAGGGCAGGCTGAAGGATCAACTGTGGAGGTTTTGAAAAGAAACAAAAACGGCTGTTAACTCAGAATATCTACAGCTGTACAAGACAATGGACTGTTTTGTCACACAGTAATCTGCAATAGGAATACCGGGGCTGCTGTATTAGAATACAGTTTACAATGCAGGACATGGATTCAGCTATCTTATGTTTGACTTTTAGTGTTAGGATGCGAATAGAAGTCTGTGCTTGGTTCACAACCACTTGTGTGTTTGTTTTTTAATTAAAAGGCATACATTTCCCAGAATCTTGGGATGGTACTCTGATGTAGTGTTTCCAGACCCTGTCCCAGGTACGTCTTTAAAACGATCCTAATAAGTGCTTTGTTATGGACTGCAATAGAAATTCTGCATAATCATAGGCTGGCTATCTGTTCAATGTGGCGTAGCACTCCTGCTCGCTGGTACACTTCTCTAATCTCAATTTGGCAGATATGACCTCTTTCAAGTTAACATGTGATCTCATGTTTAGGTAATTTCATTTGACCTGTTTGATGAAGAGTACACACTTGGACCTGTTGATGACGTGATTCATAACGAGTGGGCGAACTATACCTTAAAGAAAAGCTGCATGCCCTGTCGAGCGTTAGTGTTGGGCTTGCCCGAGACAAAAAATTAAAAACATTATTGGAGAATAGAAAACAGGAGAAAAGATATGCTATAATATATTCACTGATCTTGATATGTCCTTTTGATTCTCTAGCTAGCAATTCAAGAGCATAACTGTTGTGGTGAAAGCTTAATGCTTACGGGAGCATGAACTGTAGCAAAACACATTTTTCAAAGCTATTGAAATGACACTAAACTTTAGGATTCATGAATATACAAACAAATGAGAACTAGTACATCTTTGTAAATATTAACCAATACTGCCGGCAGTCTATACGTCTAATAAAAATGTTACTTGCCCTCAGGAACAGTATAATCCCTTAAAAAATAGACAACTCAAATGATAAGACATTAAATGAAAAATACAGCACCTATAAATAAGCAGAATAAAAACCAAACTATAAATGCAAAATAGCAATAAAACCAAGCTACAGTAAATCATAGTATTACACTACTTTGTGAAAAGATTAATGAAATGGTAACGCATCAAACAGCTTAAAGAAGGGTGTCAGTTGTGCACTAGTAGTGTGTGCAAGTAGATACGAAATATGACCCCACTCATTGGAAACACTGAACACTCCTCAGTCACACACACACATTGTGCACACGCATGTATTGACAGGCGTGTGTGTACATGCACCCACGCTAAGACACACACACACAAACACACACACACACACATACACACACATACACACAGAGGGGAGGCAGTAGGCTGACAGGCACTGAGGGCTTGTGTGAGACAGGGAGGAGGTGATATGCCTTAGAATTTGTAGTGTATACAGTAGAATTCAATGCAAAAAGACTTACATCCCTGGATACAGGAGAGACTGGAGGAGAGTTTAACTACTCACATCAGGGTGGGGGTGAATTCACTTTGACGGCAACAGACACAGAGTACAGATGAACACGATCTGTACATTGCAATTCATTCATTTAAACCTACTTCTTCAGTCAGACATTTCATTATTAATAATCTGCTACTTAAATTTGAGTGAATTGACCTCGACCCTGGCTTACATGCAGGCAAATACAAATGCACACGAAACACTCACACACACTCACACACTCTTCCTGATTTGTCCTATAAAAAGACGTGTTTGTCAACAGAGAAAATTTTGTTGGTGGTGCAGACACACAAGACTCCCACACACACACACACACACACACACACACAAACAGACTCCCAACACACACACACACACACACACACCCAGCAGGTCCAGTGCTGGGTGAAAAGCTGTGACGTTCACAACCTAAAAACAACAAGAGACACGTAAAGTATCACCATGTCAGACAGCTACAGTACTACGTGAATTCATCGTATCGTATTTCAAAAATGCAACATTTTTCCTTTCTAATTTTTTTTAAACAGTAACTGGTTATTCTCTTATTTTCTGCTCTTATTTTGTACTAATTACAAATGATTCCTAAAATTCCCTATTTTGTACTCTTTAGAGTCAATAGACTGTGCAATCTCTTATTGGCAACCAAATTGCAATATGAAAAAAAAGAGATCATCCTTCATCCTTAAAGAAGGGTTTAAGGAGGCGAAAAGAGGGTTCCTTCCTTCTGTCCTTCCTCTTCAGATGAGTGCGTGTGTTTGTAAGGAATTAAGAGATCCTTCTGGCCATCACATGGCTGTCAGCAGGATAGGATATGGGACACAACAGGTCAAAGTTCATCTTTCTTATATCAGTAACTATGGCAGCTGAGCCGGCAGGGCAAACACTACCCTCTGAGAGTGTAGGAGTGAGATAAAAAAGAAAAACGTGCTGCCATTGACAAGAGAACACACGCACACACACGCACACACACCATTTTTGGGTGTGTATACACACAGACAGGTGCACACTGACACAACCCCTAACACACAAACACACACACACACACACACACGCAGTGAGTGAAAAAGGCAAAGGGTTTGTAACAGTCACTCTACAGTGTGAAAAATGAGGCGTCTCACTGAGTGAGGGGAGGTTTGTGGACACTTGGGAGGTGAGAAGAAGAGCGGAAAAAATCTCCTTTAAGAAAGTGAGAGTTCTTGTAAGAGAGTTCCTGTCTCTATCTATCATCTATCAGTGTCTATCACTGTGACAGCTGCTGTGTCAGGCCTTGCCTGTGTTCGGAGTCCAGGTTTCAACCCTAGCTGTGGGTCAGACCCCAGCTCAGGACTAACCAGTCTGGTGCACCAGTGGCTGGTGATAGGGGGGGAGGTACAGCAGGGCCAGAGGCCAGCAGGACGGCTAAGTGCTTTTCTCAGTACAAAAACAAAACTCAGTTTAAAAAAAAAAGGAGAGACACATAGGTTCTCTTATTTTGTTCTTCTAGGTATTCAGTAAATCTTCTTTTTAATGGTTTTGCCAACCACTCTGTTTCTTTCCTCTTTTGGGAAAGCTTTTATAAAAATGGCTGCTGAGCTTGACTTTGGCTGTGTCCACTCTCCAACTGGAACAGAGCAGGAGGGGTCCAAGGTTCGAGGTCGTGAGGTTATGAGACAAAAGGGACAAGGGATGGTCAGGGGGAGCTAGAACTCCCACTCTGAGGGATCCTCTTTGCTGGCAGCCTTCTCCAGCCTGTGGATGATGTTATTCAGATTGGCTGCTTTCTTCTTGCGCAAATTGTTGTCCCTGGGGTTTCTGGCAGGGCCAGAGGCTGGGATGTTTGTACTAGAGGCAGAGCTACTTGAGGACGCCTCTGTGAGGCTGAAGAGACCCAGTCCACCCTGTCCACAGCTGGAGCCTGGCCCGGCTAAGCCTGAGGTGGTGCAGTCTAGTTGGGCAGGGGAGTTATTAGAGCCCCCTGCCTCAGAGTCAGCCTCCATGTCGGGGTCTTTGCATTCTCCTCTGTGATCCTCCAGGCCCATGCCCAGTCCATGCCGTGTCTCCGCTGTGCCTTCAGATTCTGTCCCATCGCAGCTGTCCCCCTCTCCTGATTTGGAACCTCGGAGTGAAGGGGAGCCCCCATCACTGCCTGGCCCCATCCCTCCAGCTGCCTGGATCTCCTCTATAAAGAGCTCTCGCCGGATACGTGACCTGGTGGAGACACACAAGTTCATTCAAGTTTCTTCCACAAGTGTAAAACATTTTAAATATTACTGATCTCAAAACACTGTATGAGTGTTATCATGTCCCTTAATGATGACAGGGCAATAACAACACTCTTTGTGGCTAACATAATATCCATACAGAATCCATTTTTAAAAATAAAAAATAAGCTGTGCAAATATAAGATAGAGAAAACACTTAAGCTGCATTGTTATGAGACATCAAATAATAAGAAAAAAACACTGTTTTTATTTGGATACTGCATATAATTAACTGAAGCAACATTCAAGCCGGTCTCTTTTCCAAAGGCTGACCTGTAATTATGGAACCAGTTGATAACAGTACTGGTCTTCAGGTTGAGCTGGGAGGCCAGCTCCTCAATGGTTTTGGGGGAGGGGTAGGGCTTCTGCTGGTAGGCCCTCTTCAGGGCCTCCTTCTCTTCAGGGCCCAGCACCACCCTGGGTTTCTTCAGGTGCTGCTGTCCCGGGCTCTGGGAGCCTTGCATGTAATCTTGCCCCACTAATCCAGTGTCCACAGAATGGCTGTCACTCAGGGAGCTGAGCCGCCTCTTCATGTAAGCTGAACAGAGACCACACCAAAAAAAAGAAACAAGAGGGGAAATCAGTAACTCAGACAATATACTTCTGATAAACACATAAGGTAGAATATTAATAGGGAATTCATTATTCTGTCATGAATCTGAACCTTTAGGGACTTCTTCATAATCTCTTAAGTGGCAAACAGAGGCTTTTATATTTTTAAATACTCTGAGGTCCATTAGTTCAGTCCTAACAGCTTTTATTGATTAGCTGATTAGACTTTAAAACTATTACTCAAATAGTCAGTCGCTAGAAAAGTTCATCCCAATTTTCATGATCAATTGTTTTGACCACCAAGATGCCAAAAAGACTGGTGACAGCCCCTCAAATACGAATACAATTGCTTGTTGTCTCTATTTTTTTTTCATAATAAATGGAATATTTTTGGACTGTTGGCTTGATAAAATAAGTTTATATCAGGATTATTTTACGGACATATACGTAGGACTATGGCCTTTACATTTTCAATTATAGTATTTTTATCTCTTTAATGTGCACCTAACAAATGATCCTGTAATACCTTATACAGTTACATGTGTCTGTCCTAGGCTTAACTTCAGGGCTAAATAGACTTTAACTATGAATGTTTTATTACGATGTCAGTAGGAGAGTCTAGATCAACAGAAGTCCATCACAGTGGATGTCCCATGTTTGATAAACAATTGCCCCATGATAATGTTTTTTCATGTCTTATACATCAGACCTGATTCTAAAAACATGATCCAGCTACCCTTTCCTACATCCACTAGGTGGTGCTGTTGCCTTTCTCTGGGATTCTAACAATAAAAGCATCTCTTCCATTTTACAGCAAACAAGCAGCACTGTTCTCTCCGGGCAGCAGTGGCTGAAAATGAACAGCTCATGGCAGCTTTGCATGAGGTTGACATTTTCTCAACCCCAATACACGCTACCAGATATATTAGTGTTGCAGGGAAAAACCCCTCAGAGCAAGGTTAGACCGCTCGGAAAGTTGTGTGCTGCCTGGCAGGCTTGTACCATGAGGTTGAGGGGTCAAATACGGTTACCCTAGACTAGGTCTGTGTCTTTCCTCTAGGCTCTGCTTTTGGCCAGGACTATTCCCCATCGCTATTTGGATGCATTACTTTGGGGTCAATAATCTAAAACGAAGTTGAACCCCACCCGCTCAGGCCCCAAACCCACTGGTGTAAGGTCAGTTTTGTTTTTTGCCCTTGTGCTTAGTTTGCAATATAACGGGGGGTAAACTGATCCTAGATGCTTGTGTCTACTGGCAGATTCAAACATGCGTATCCCGTCTCCTCAGAGAGCTTCAAGTGGGCAGTCGGGGGTCACTGTGAGGCAGCGAGGAGGGCAAGGCCTCTTGGCTTTGCTGATTCTTAAACGCATCATGCAAACATAGAGGAATAAAGGATGATGGGAGTGATAGAGCGAGCTGAGGGCTAACAAATGATAAAATTACAAGCTTATAGACACTGGTGATTATTATGATGAGGATGATGATGATGAAGAGGAGTGCTGATGACTGTGAGTAAGCAGGCCCCTGGCAGTCCCCTAGCTGTCACATCTAATACAGTATGTGATGTCTGCGGTCCTGATTGGTACTGACATCACACCAAGACGACTGTGATCTGCACAACATGCTCTGCTGTCCTGCACAAAGGATTTTGTGTGTGCAGATGTGAATGTGCAATTCAAAGGCTGCTGCTTGTGTGTTTTTTTTGATTGTATTCATCAAATAAATGCATGCTTAACCCATGATGATATTTGTTTCCTCTTCTCTCAGAGCTTTGTTCATTCTATCTGAATGCATGCTGCTTTGTGTTGATGAGTTTGTTTGTTTTTTAGCATGTTGCCCTCACTACACACCTTTCTTCTCCAGGCGTTTCATGTCCATGAGTTTCTCCACACTGTGTGGGTCCTGAAGCCAGAGCTGCATGCGAACGAAGGGCTCCCTGCCCTTCAGGCTGAGCTTGTGCCAGGGTTTGGGCCTGGCCAGCAGGTCTGAGACAGAACCCTGAGTCAGACCCAGGATAGTCTCCCCAAACAGACGCTGGCCTGGTTAGGCAAGAGATAGGAAATGAAAAAGTCATTTCAGGGAACTGATTCAAAGGCTGAATAATTCATGAAAAAAAAAAGAAAAAAAAAAAAGCAGCAGGGTGGGGGAAAGAAAAAGAGTGACTAAACCTCCGGTGTTTCTTACCAAGATTGTTATCAGTCAGCACCTCCTTAACCTTCTTAGTGATGGCGTAAGTATCAAGCTCAGGTGACATTGCAACCATTTCCTGGATGCTGAGACCCGAATGACCAGGCAGGGGCAGCGGGGTGCCAGGCTGAGACTCCCCACCTGAGGGATCCTCAGACAGAGGTTTGAGGCCGGACGACTGTGAAGCGAGTGGATCCCCTGTTAGACCGTTGACAGACTCCTCGGCAGAACTGAGGGGCGACTCTGGAGCGGGGCTGCAGCTCGCTGATGTCTTAGGTGTACCCTCTGCTTGAGGAGAAGGGACAGGGCGAGACAGATCATACAGGTTAGAAGACATGTTACTACATGAGAAAACCAAGTTTCATCTCCTCTTCCTGCTGTGCTTGGGAGGGACTTCAGTCACACAACATCAATTAATTTAATTCCTGTTAAACAAGCAGCAAAGGTGCTTAAGTTTTCGGTTTGAAGCTTTTTTGGCTTCCTCCTCCTTTTCCTTCATCTCCCTGTCTCTGTCTGTGTAGTACTGCTGTGCAGCTCAGCAGGCTGGAAGAGAGCAGTCATGAGGAGCTGTCAGTGTACATTAGCTGCTGTTTACACCCCCAGAGAGAAAGAGAGACACACACATGCACGCACGCACGCACGCATACACACACACACACACATATGCGGAGCTGCCATCTGGCGCTGCAACACTAACTTGCCTATGACATGACAAACCAGCAGCTTGCTGGCTGACACTGCCACAGCACTGAGGATGGGGGGATGGTGGGAGAAGGAGGGAGGGGGAGGCAGAGGGTGGGGTGAGTGACAGACTGACAGTAACAACTAGCCACTAGCTCTAATCAGGCTCTCAGAATAATGCTCTAGCCCAAGGAGTCTGGTTGTTTGAATCTAATGTGTGTGTACGTGTGTGTCTGTGATTTGTTTACCTTGGTTGGGAGCTTGCTGGATGTGTGCATTTTGCCCCTGGTCTCCATTGAGCCACGGCTGCATGCGGAGGTACGGCTCTCGGCTCCTCTGGTTCAACTTGTTCCACGGTTTGTGTCGAGACAGACTGTCACTCAATATTCCCTGAAACACACAGGCAGAGAAATGGCTCAGACATGCAACCGCTGTGGAGTAAAAAGGTAGGAAAAGTACACTAATATACACACACTCTGCATCCCTCACCTCTTTGGAGTCCTCCTGGTTGTGGTTATCCTCTCCTGTCTGGTTGCCTATAGCCCTGCGGGGGTCCGTGTGCATGTTACTCCACCACTGCTCCCTCCAGTAGCCAACCCCTCCAGAGCTCATGGAGCGGGCTGACCCTCGGAGCTCCGACCCAGCCTGAGAGCGCCGTCAGTAGACATGTCGATCCCTGAAGAGCCCCGGCCTTCACGCTTCACACTGGAGCTGAAGTCCAGGATGGGAGACGGGGAAGAGGGCGAGGATAAGAGGGAGCTGTGCGGCTTCTTGAGGGAGAGTGCCAGCGGGTTGTAAGGGGGGAGAGGAGCGGTGAGTGAGGAGGTAAGGAGGTCTCTTTGAGATAGCGATGAAGAGGAAGACGAGGCTTTGAGTATGGGCTCCAGTGCAGCCTGTTGGGCCTCCATCTCTCTGCGGGCTTGCTCTAGGATAGAGCGGATGGCCTCATCTGACCCACTGCCCCCTCCGCCTCCTATCCCGCCCCCACCCCCTCCTTTCAGTCCTGTGTATGAAGGCTGGGCATGCGACAAGTCTGCAGAGGGAGGGACAGAAAGGTTCATGAGCGACATAAACTAACAAAAATATATCATCTTCACCCTGTGAGGTACAAATGTGAACAACAACTTTGTAAAATTTCAGGGGCATTCAGGCTTTCCCGAAATGTTCTAGAAATTTTCAGCAGTGCAAATGGGAAAACAGCGCAAGACTCACCAGCTTTCTGCACCTGCAGCTCTCTCTTGGCCTGCTCTAAGATGGACTTGATTGCCTCATCTGAACCCGCCTCTGGGGTACGGACACGTGCTGTAATGTTACCTGGATTCAAAGGAAAAGGGAATGGGAGGAGATGAAAAATCTTGTCAGATTAAAAGCAGCAATAACAAATACGGGAGAAGTTAAAAAGAACGATAGCAGAACTTATGAAGACATCAAAAATTGATACCATAGCAAAGCACAAAGAGCAACATTCCAAACACTGAGCTACAAGGCAACTTACTACACTGGAGGGATTGACTTAATTTTTTTCTGGTCCCTCTGGAGCTCACGCATGCACATGTGCTACAGGGTTCATACAGTAAATGCTCCCCACAGAATAACAACTAGCAATAAAATCCCTAAATACACATGCTGGCTTTTCCTTTGACGCAAGTCGCTGAAACTGTGTAGTTACCTTCAAGGCACATGTACATCTGTATTCCTGCTTGCAAATTAATAAAGCCAACATTACACGCAAGCGCACACACACACACACACACCATGGATACAGTTCACCCCAACACAAACATGCCACACGGACAGAACGTGCTAGAATCTCTGTGTGTGAAGGGGACAGACCTGTGTGTGAAGCTGTATTGGAGAGGGCTCTCCGCTTCGGGGCATCCTGAAACACTCGGCTAAGCTGGGGCTGGCCTGAGCCCTCTGTTAAAAACAATATACCACACACTATGTTACAGCACTTGTGTGTTTTTTTTTTCTTTTCTTTTACAGCTAGACTATATGGTGACCTATAATGATATGCAAATATATGGAATGTGTGAACACTTCCATCCAGTGCACATTATAGTACCATAGATGCATCGATCTTTACCATCTGTGCCTCCAGTAGAACTCAAACCTCCACCTCTTACAGGAAGATTATTCTACTACAAAGACAGACTAGTGAGAGAAAAATGATCTCAAAGTAGTTATTAAGAAGGTTGTACTAACTACTTCCTTATTTTCAAAACAGTCTTGCATGTCTGGGACTTGGTTTGTGGACTCTGTTTTATTTTTTTCATACCATAGAGACCACCTTCAATCAGAAATGTCCTGATGCGTTAACAAAAACAGGCCGAGGCTAATCGAATCCACCCGTAGTTAACAGTACCCCTGCCTACCTCCAAGTTCCCCCACCGATCAATACTATTGATGTGTGAAAGGTTTCTGTATTGACAACGATAGCTGAGGGAGGCTCTTGGGATCAGTGCGTGACTGGGAACTCACTCAAAACACACAGGTGGGGCACAGGATGGGAGTTAGGAAAGAGAAAGAAAAATAAAAAGCTAGTCCATATTGACAGTCTAATCAATGGCTCTGTGCAGGGCTACACACACACACACACACACACACACACACGCGCATGCAAGACACACACACACATTCACACAAGAACAGACACATTAAAGATACACAAGCTCACCTCGCTGCCGTCCCTGGATGCTGCGCAGAGCGAGGATGTTCTGCTCATCGGCGAGGAACTGCCTCATCTTGTGGAAGGGCTCCTTCCCCCGGATGGTTAGCTTGTTCCACGGCTTTGGTCTGGCCAGGATCTCACTGACTGAACCCTGGGAGAGTCCAAGCACATAGTGGCCAAACACACGCTGACCAATGTTGTGCTTGATCAGCTGCTCCTTCACCTGCCGAGCAATCTCTGCTGTGTCCATATCCTCCCCGTCCAGAATACTTCCCGTGGTGGCGTCGGAGTGGCTGGGTGACGGGGATGGGGCGCTGCCAGCCGTGCTGCTCCCGTTAACAGGAGCCATGTCTGGGCTGGCTGGGGGTGGCTGGGGGCTGCTGGCTGCCAGAGGGATGGCAGCAGACCCAGAGCCAGGTGTGGAGGTAGGGATGGAGCTGAGGGTGGGGGTGAATGGGGTGAACAGTAGAGCCCCACTGGGGATTCCAGATGACTCCTGCAATGCTTTGGAGTAGAAGGTCTGGAGCAGCTGCCGCTGTATCAGAGAGTTCAAAGCCATCTTACCCCCCACAAGAGGGAACACAGGGGAGTAGAAGTCCTGGCCAATGCCCGTAGGAGTGAAAGGGTGCATTTCACTGCTGGTGGTGGTGGCAGTGTTGAGGGGATCCGTGTGAGAGCGAGACAGAGGGAGCTGGGAGGAGGAAGGGAGAGAGGGGGGAGGAGGAGGGGGCGAGGAAGAGGGGTCGCTGGGCATGGTCTCCTCCTTCAGTTCAGACTCCTCTGTCCCTTTTCGCCTGGCTGACCCTACAAGAAAGGTCAAACACACCATGCATTATGGGGGAGTCAACAAAAAAGGGGTTCCAAAAAAAGAGAGACAAAAAAAATAACAAAAGTTATCTTAATCAAGTCTTTTCCAAATTAGTGAACTTTGTTTTTCCTTTTTTGCCAACCCCCCCAGACAAAGTGCCCATGCATTTGTGATTTCAACCTTTCTTGTAAGCTACAGCCTGGAAGAAAAAAAGGACAAACAAAACAATTGACACTGTGCCACTTAGGCAGATTAGCTTGGCCCATGGCTCAGTTGCTCTCTCTCTCGCTCTCTCTCTCTCGCAGGCAGAGTGGAAGTAACTGGACAGGGTAAAACGATGTCCTTAGATAGCCAATACACCATGTGAGTCCTCTTCTGTGCTGCTGCTGCTGCCGTGGGTTCCTAAACACTGAATTAATCCATCCTTCATGCAGTATCATAGTCTTTAGTTTGTAAGAAATACATCCAGGATCATAACATGATCACAAGAGAACTCATTAAAAAAAACAAAAAAAACACTTTATGGCTGAACAGAAAGAAAAAAAACAGTATTTCATGATACTATTTTTCTGAAATCCATTTTGCTGACAGGCGGTGGAGATAAATATTCTTATGCATAACCATTAAGATTTAACATGATTGAGTAAGACAGTAAGCTCCCCTCACTGTGAATGTTAATCAATTCAAAGCTATTCAACTATTCAAGCCTTAAGCAATGACATTTCAAACCCATAAACACTGTTGCAGAGGGCAAGAGACCTGATGTAGGGCCGATAGTATGGTGTCCTCATTTTAATGTACTGCGACTTTGTTTCTTTTCAGGTTGACCTCCTGCTGAGTTTTACAAAGATACCCGATATATTTTTCCTGCATGATGTGTGTAGCTAAAGCAATTCCGATACCATGACATTTTTTTTTGGCATTTCTTTTGTACAATACCCAAAACTTCAAACACATTAATACATGATTAAGTATTCTCAGAGAAAGAGAAAAATCTATATAAATACACACTATACGGTATGTATGCACTGCTGCTGCTGCTAAGCCTTTATCTAAGCTTCCATGAGTGCTGGACTCTTTGCATTCTGTGTTGATGACCCCCCCCCCATTGAACTGGTACCTGACATTAGGAAGACTTACCGCTGAGCTCGGTGTTGGCGATGCGCAGAGCAGCGCTCTCAGATTGAAGACTGCGGTTCCTCTCCAGCAGCAGCACCTCCAGAGGTTTGGAAGAGTCCTGACGGAGAGAAATCAGAATTGGGTTTAAAAAAGAAAAAAAAATGTGTTTACTACGACTTTTGTTCGATCAAAATCTTTGTGTGTAATGTCTAGTGCTTATGGTTGCGTGTGTTTATAACTCTGACTTTTACCTGCACAGAGTCAGATGTGCCAAACTCCATAGACTTGAGGATACTGAGAGAAAAAAACAGAAAAAAAATCTATATGAATCTCCATCAAAAGAAACAAATCTTCCATGCAGCATGCTAGCCTTTCTATTTCAGTTTCTGAAGGACAGAGAAAGGATTTCAGGGTAAGGAGATAAACACAAAATGAAGAGCTACAGACAAACAAGCTTCACCTTCATGAGGGCACTCAATTGAATTACACATCCTAAATGAAGACTCGCATCTTTCTTAACTATGTTAGAGACATCAAAGGCATGCATTAAATAGATCTATGTTCAGAACACACACACAAACTCTCTCTCACACACACACACAATCACGCTCTCTCCTCTTTGCATGCTCCTCACCTCAACTCCTTCTTCACCTCCTCGTAGTCAGCTTGATTCTGCAGTTTCTCCTCCAGTTCCTGCCGATAATAAAGAGATGACATAACATGAAATAAATAAGATAATGAAAGCAGTCTTTGGATCGTTGTCTTTGTCATGTGTCTCCAGGTGAGAGAACAGAGCGAGTAAATGTCACTATAGTTACAGGTGGGATCACAATACATAATGAAGCTAATACAGAAATTAGTTTATTAGAAACAAAGAAAGTAAAAGAAGATGTGTGTTCTGTTTTTTTTGTACCTTGAGAGTGGCAGTCTTAGTGCTAAGCTGCTGCTCCAGCTGGGTGATCTGGGAGCTGGTGGTCTCTCGGAGTTTGGTAAGGCTGGCCTGCAGTCTCTGGACGTCCTCCACCAGCTGGGCGGTCTCCCTTTCTTTGGCCCTGAGCTCCGCCTCCAGATTTGAGTGGGATGCCCCCTCTGAATCCTGTTCCTGAAGGCCAAATAGAATGGCAGCTTCATGTAATGAGCATAATGTAACCGATACAAATATTTCCAACAACCCCCCCAATACAAAGTCCTGCAGTCAAATAAATCATTACAGTGATCAATACATCGGAGCCTGACAGGAGATAATCGATGTAATGATTATTGTTTATCAATAAGCAGTAGGGCACTGACCAATCAAAGTTACCCAAGGGGTCAAGGAAGCAGATGATTTCTAACTAAGGCCTGGAAAACATTGGATGATTGCATAAAAGTCGCGGTGGAGTGTAATCTCACATTCTACAAGTGAATCTTTCTTGTCAAGTTTCATACCAAGTCGCGGTGGAGTGTAATCTCAAATTCTACAAGTGAATCTTTCTTGTCAAGTTTCATACCAACCACGACCAACGTCCTGATCTACATGCTCACGCTGTACTGCCAACGTTTCTCTCTTTAATATCTTTTTTGGGATAGGAGCGGGGGAAACACATCAAACAGACATGCCTGCTGTTGCTATGGTGCTTTCAGATGCTATCTGCCAGTTTTTGCAGGAGCAATCAGGGAAAAAACAACCTGAAGTTGGGGAAGCGGCGCGTGGCTCTGCTCTGACTTTGAGAGTGTGTGCAGTCCTACAACCAAAATGTAAAACATGCCAGAAACTCATCCAGCTGGTCAGGAGCAGTAGATCGGGCTGTGTTTGACACACGCAACCCCCCGAAAACACAGCATGTCAAAAGGCGTGCAATTGAGCTGCTATTTGGCCCAACTTCAAAATCAAATTCGAGTCAGAAACCCACCATGTGTCCCAGGCTAAAAGTCTCACTTCTGCAGTCAGTTGTATAGGTCCAAAAAAATCTATTAATCAATAAGCCAATCACAAGGTGCAACCCTGGCAACCTTTTCTTAGAAATCAATACATTAGACAACAGATCAACGTGTCATTGACAACTCCGCTGCCTGACCTTTCAGACCAGTGACCACAGTGATCCACAAATTGAAGCGTTAATCAGCTGATCTCCCTTAGAATAAAAAGGGCCGAGCTGATCTTTAGCCTATCAATACCTCTTTGTAAGTCATTCGATAAATCAGTGAAGCAGTAGGTTGAGTTACCGTGTCGGGGTCGGCCTTGGCAGGGCTGCTGAGCAGCTGTGATTGGCTGCTTGAGGACAGCTGCTCTCTCAGCGAATCCGTCTCCCTCTGAGCTGCTTCTGCCCGCTGGAAGGAGAAGAGAAAATGTTGAATGAAAATCAACTTGTGTAGAGTCTGAAATTGTCAAACATGATAAATGTATGCCTCAATTCAGTAGTACTTTTTAATGTGTAGATAAGTCCCCCCAACTTGTCTCAATGTCCTGCTAGAGAACAGTTGAAAACAGACTTAATATGACCACATTTAGAAAAGACTCTAATAAGGACACAATCTTTCCTCTCCTTTCATTGTACTCACCCTCTCATAACATCAAACAAAGACTTTTAAAGCATGGATGTGTTTGTTTTCATCGCCAATTTCTTGGGTTATAATTATTTCAACATTTTCCTCTAGCTCAGTCACTTTTCCTAAGTATAAAGCTGATCTCCCTACACTGTACAAGTGTTTGGGAAGTGGTATATAAAAAAAAAAGCAATCAAATTAAAGGAAGGAAGTTTTCCAATACACCATCTTCCTCTCACAGCCAACCGTGTGTCAGTGTCGCTTCCAGCATAAACAAATACTACATAACAGTGGAGGGCAGAGAGAACACAACAATGGCCGAGGGTGGATTCTTTTTTTTTGTTGTCTTAATTGAAAATATCACATTAGTCCTGAGAATTGAGATGATACCCGCTGCCTTGTATTTATAGCAAAACTCCAGCAGGGACTCATCTGCAACAGTGGCCAGCTTGCCGTCATTAGGAGTCACAGGGAGCCCAATCCACAGTGTTTCTAATTGCAACCATATTGAAAGTCGTTATTGACTGGGTGGGAGTTTGAATTCTCGCCGCAAAAAAGAAATCCTGTTTTCCATTTTCTCCTTATAAAAGCGTATAAAAAGTCTGTGAATGAGCTGGAGGCTATGCTGTCATCCACTGTAAACCTCAATTCAGAAGTGTGAATAGTGTGTGTGTGTGTGAGTGTGTGTGTGTGGCATTATAGTCTGAATGCTAACCTTTAGGCTAATATTAACATTACATGCCTTTGCTACCCCTTTAGCCACAAATCATACTCTTAGGCTAATAATGAAAGTTAACAACAATGACATTAACAGATACCACAGGAATATTTACAACAAGGGCAGAGGGTGCACTGCGGGGCACTTTTTTTTTTTTTTAGCTGCATGGGTTATGTACAGTAGGTGTATTATAATCATTTGAAAGAAACAGCAGCAGCACTCACACTCATAACAAAGTCGTTATTTGTCCATATTAACCTCACTTCATAGATTCTGTTCGATAATATTATTTGTTTTTTTTAGAACAGAACTGGGAGTGTTTTTACTTAAGGAATTTCAAAAGATCCAATAGAGACCTTACTTACATACCTCTTACTCTCAGAACTTAACAACTCTCAGAGCTTCTCCTGAGCCGGCCTCAGACTTCAGGAGTTTTTAAAATAGATTTTAACAGACTTTAAAATCAGGCTGCATCACACACATACATTTACATTCCTCTTTAATCTCACTTTAGAAAAAATAAAATACAAATGGTGCATCACACATCCTAAAGTATACCATTGAAGTTATATTGAGCTAGAGGGAGCAAAGCACCACCTCACCTTGTCTGGTCCAGGCTGGTTTAAGCAGCCTGGACCAGACAACATAGGGGAGATGTGGTGGCAAATGTTTGTCTAATCATCAGGGAGAGCAGGAGGTTAGGTTAAGTGTTGGTTTTATTATCACTGAACAGTATTATGCTAGCAAACATCAGCTACTATGTTGCCTCTTACATTCCCGCTCAGGAAGTTCTGACATACCCATTCAGATTTAAAACCTTAAGGTTCAAAATAATTAATACAGACAACCTGAAGTTACCAAAACATGGGAACCTTTCAGGGTCTTCGACCAAATGTCTTCTCTAATTCCAAGCGGTGTGAATCAGGGATCAATCGGTTTAAAACCCCGGAAGTCTGGGCCCAGCTTAAGCCCTTCGTCTGTTTGTTTTTTCTTAATAGTTAAAAAACTGAAAACGTGGAGATATTTTAAAATATATTTAAATAATCTATATCAAAGTTTTACAGTGCTGTTAAAAAAAACGTAATTTTTAACAAACATTACTTAAACAGGAGTAAATTAAATATGTGTTTGTGGACTATTTTCAGTGGAGGATTAATTCATGTTTGATGCTCTAGTCATTATTTAAGGATCCAGGACAGTGTGTGGGATCAGATCAAAATAAAGTGAAGGCTCCATGTTCTACATACTAGAGGAACATTTCACTCTGCACATCTTTTTAATCTACATCAGGCTTTTAATACACACACAATACTTCAGTCAGTGTAGTGAAGACAATGTTGGTTTCATTCGTTGAACAGGGAACACAAATATAACATTACACTAGATCATTCAAATCCAATTTACTTGCATCAGCGAACACATTGTTTTATTTTTAGTTGAATGATTCCAGTCAATGCATTCAGACTTTTCCTCTGTATTTAAAAACAACAACAGTTTGGCTGTGTACAAAATACACAAGATGCGGAGTAGTTACCTGATTTGCCCTTTCGAGGTCAGTCATCACCATCTCAATCTCATCGGCCCTGAGAAAGACATTTACTGTTACAACAGAGTATGGGGCAGTGCTTTTAAAAAAAAGACTCACTGAACACCAACAGAAACAAGTGATGGATGAACAAACATGGCTGAATATACACTCTGCACACTTTACGTGCGTGCGATTGTTCAGAGAAAACACATTTAGAGGATGCAGTTGTCGTGTCCATTAAGCTACAGTCTAAATTTCACCTTAATCCATTGATTGTGAACTCCATAACCCAAACAGCTTGTATCCGTGCATGCATACATGTATTTAAGTGTGTGTGTGTCTATGTGTGTGGGTGTGCACATGTAAGCCCCTAAAACCCGGGCCACACTAAAACAGAGGGATTACATTAATAGAGCTCTAAGTCCTAATACAGCAGACTAATCTGCTATGAAGCTGTATGATTGTGTCTGACTAATGGTCTGGATGGAGGCCATGGTTCACCTCTCACTTGCTAGAGGTCAGACAGCAGGAATACATCCCCGTAATAACACATAGTATTGGACTCTGGAAAAATAGTTTAATAACCAGCTTTTAGTGACATGAACACCTGAAAAGATTTGACAAACAATGACAAAGATGTAGATGAAACTTCAGGCACAGCAACTAAACACATAACACAAAAATATGACTCATTTAAAACTTTTGTAATCTTTGCATTAAATTTATGATCAGACTCCATGCCTGCATAATTACCCAAATATGATTAACCTCTCTGTTAATTAGTTGTCAGCGTGTTGCTTGCGCCCTATGATACATTATGAGCCCATTTAACTGCATGAAGAAGTTACAAAACACAAGTGCATGAAAATCCTGACAACTCATCCACTGTAGTCCAGTGTAAGCATGTGTGTGTGTGTGTGTGTGTTTAAGACTTGCTGATAAGGACACAACGGCTGCATTGAATGCAAAGATGCAAGCGCAAATGTGCACTGCTGGGTCCATTAGGACCTTTTGATTTCGCCGCAATCTTTTGATGGATGAACCGAATAACCCACGCAGCTTTTGTATTTGTGTGTCACAGTATGAGAAACAGTGTTATGTCCCATAGGCTTGAGCACTACTGATTTGAATGTGTTTAACAAAACAGACACAGTTGATATTAGGTCAACACTGTGCCACTGGCAATGCAGCAAAAAAGAATCAGATGTGGGTGGGAGAGCTTTTTTCACTCGCCGCTTTTATTCTTTCCCCAACAGTTAAAAGGATCTAGTATGCATTTAAGCAACATAATAGTACACTACCTCACCAGCTTTTATCCTGTCTTAAGCTATAGTGTGCCCGGGACCCACGTGTGCACTCAATCGCACTCCCTCACACACGAATGTTAAGGTCAGAGAGCCAACAAGCCAGAAAAGCTTGTAATGGAGAGCGTTTATGGGTAGTAATGCAACCCAAATACACCACTGCTCCCGCTCCAAATGTGATCATTTAATCAAAGTACAGATGCACAAAGTCTTCTTAAATAACCTTTGGATTTGGCTGTATTTGGGAATTATAAAGGCAAAGCTAGAGGCTGCGGGCCAAATCAGATCACAGGGAAGGGATTTTCTGCATATCCTGATACAGTCAGTCAGTCATTGGGCAGGACAGGAGCTGTCCATAGCGATAAATGCACCCAGAAGAATTAAATCACCATCGGGCACTGAATGGTAAAGGATGGGTGGGAGGGCGGAGGTCCTTAGTAATGATAATCCAGATTCTATGCCCCCAAAATGTAATTACAAAGCTTCATACAGCAGCCACAGGGAGGAGCTATAGAGTAGATGGATGCACTTGGAAGTTTTTACACAAAACAACACACTCACACACTCTTTTGTACCAAGAAAGTCGATGTGTGCAGCCAGTGACATCAGTGAGTACTGTAGGACTTCTGAAACGAGCACAGAGCCTCTAAGCCCCTACTGTACTTCCTCCATCTCACACAGGCCTTTTCATCTCTTATCATCTTCTCTCTCTTTCTTGCTCCTCACTCAACCGCTCCTTTTCTTTTCCACCCTCTATCCTTCTCCCTCCACCCTGTTCCCCCCTTCCCGTTGCCCTCCACTTTTTCCCCTTTCATCTCCCCCCCCCCACCTCTCTCATCTTTCGCCCTCTCTTCCTCGGCCTCTGTCCTCAGTGCCAGCAGGATATTCCCCTGATTTAGATTTTCATTTCCCTCCTCTATCACACTCTTATCCCCTTCTTCCTCGCTGTAGCCCGCAGCCCGACTTGCTTTTTTGCCCTCTAGCTTTCATCACTCCATTCCTTTTCTTTCCTTGGCTTTCTCCACATTGCGTTTTTCACAGCGTGTTACCTTGGGGATTTCAAGGAGGCTTAAAAAGAAGCTAGCTGTTAGAGTGTGTCAGTGTGTGTATGGAGTGCACCATTGTGTGTGTGTGTCTGCTTGAGATGGACACAGGAAAAGCCTTTTGACTCTTGCCTAATTATCGGTAATTAAATGCTTTCCCCAAAATGCTATCAAGCCGTTACGCAGCGATAAAGACAGAAACATCGAGAGAAGCACACACAGAAACACACACGCACGCGCACACACACACAGAGCATCCTGTGGGGAGGGGGATCAATATATCATTAATCTTTAACAGGGACTAAACGGGTAAAACGTGCCCAGCCAGACCCTCACAGCGCCAACACAGAGAGGGGGCTACACTACATCTGAAGGCCCGCCTCCCGCCAAAGCTCTCACACACACACACACACACACACACACACACACACACACACACACACACACACACTGTGGGCACTGCAACATCGACCAAAATTCTCAGGGAGTGTGTGTACGTCTGCTTGTGTGTGCACAAGTGTGTATTTTAAAAGGCAGATTACCCGAATGCAGCAAGAGGAAGGGGGGATTTGTCACGCAATGTCCTCCTTAGTGGAAACTTTAGAGCGAGTATGTGTGTGTGTGTGTGTTCATTTGTGTGTTTTTGTGCAGAATGAGTGCATGATATGTATGGCGTTTGTGTTTTTGCAGTGCCAAAATATATGCAGTCAAAGGGTTAAAAGTTGTGTTCAGCCAAACACTGGCGATTTGCTCAGCCAAGCAGTAAACGGGGGAAGGACTCCAAGGACTGGGAGGGTGCAGGGTTAGAGAGGGTTTGTGTGTGCTTTAAAGCGTTGCATTAAAATTTCAGATCACAGCACGCCACATAGTCAAGGACCCTGACTGCCTCAGGCTCATGAGTGAGTGTGCGTATTTGTATGAGTGTATGTGTGTGTGTGTGTTAATGTGGGCTGGCATGTGTTTATTAGCTTTTGTAAGCAAATGGGGCCTACTATATGTCTTTTCAAAATGGGTTTTTGTCCGACATAAAAGGAACAGACAAGAACGGAAAAAGAGAAGGAAGCGTAGAAAAACGAGAGATAGACGAAGAGGACATCGTCAGAAGGACAGACAGTAAAAAGAGGGGGGCATCTGATAGACTATGAAACCTATTGATTAGTGCCGTTACACTGCACGCTATATCTTCATGTTGCCTTTCCCTTTTCACTCACAAATGTACAATGTAGGAGATAAAAGACAAAGTGTGGGAGTGAGGAAGGCAGAAAATGGGAAAACAAAGTATTGTGAGGGAGAGAGAGAGAGGAGCATCGATCTGTTTTTAACAGCCAATCAATTTAACAACTCTGTTAATGGAGAGACACGGTGAGTTTGGGGCCTGGTAAATGGGGTGGGGGAAAACCTTAAAAGCCAAGTTGATACTCCGTCGCACTTTGTGGAGAGGGCGCACGCAGGGTGCCCTTGACCATTCTATAAACAGTCTTGGGTTTTAAAAGAGGATTTAATGTTTCAAGGAAACTGGGCTCTACTTTTGCAGGGAAGCAGATAAAACACCATGAAAGGCTTTGTTTTTCCTCTCCGAATTTGAAAACTTTTGGTTCTGGTGCTCGAGTAGGTCCCCGTACTAAACCCAGAGGGACACAGAGTGAGAATGTCATAAAGTGCCATTTCACAGTGTGGAGTGCTGACATGGAAAAGCTTCTGTTCTCATCCTTGCCACTGCTATGAGATCAATAATGATAGATGTCCAGAGCTCAACTTACTGAAGCTACCTTATCTTTACCGGTAGAAGTTTGTTGGGCTCTAAGACAGTCACCCTCATGAGCCCCATAGTCCTGACCCTGACTAATCAGAGCGCTTCCGACTGCACCACCAAGAAAAAAGAATTACGGAGAAAAAAAATAACTCTATTTTTGGCGTTTGCTGTGGTGGCAAAATGTATTACAACCGTTGTCAGTGTTTACAGTGTGTGGGTAATGCTGGGATTTGCAGGCTGCTGAGCAATATGGGAGACAATCCAGCTGTTAGGGAGAGAAGAGAAGGGGGGAGTTTCCAGGCAAGAAGATTCACTAAACAGGATGATTATGTCAGGGACGGACTATGGAGGAGGCAGAGAGGGGAAAGACTCCCCAAAAACATACAGATAGATCAGGAAGAGACCTACTTTGCTGTAGATTCTTCGTCGTACTTTGTCTTCAAATCAAAGAGCTCGGCCTGAGTTGTTTCAAGTGCTGTAGGAGACGAGGAAAGAGTCAAGGAGCATGCAGTTATTTGATGCCAGGCCACTGTCAATCTGATCAAATCACAACCACATAGTCCAGATTAAGCACATTAAGATGTTTCATGTTCATTTGGGAGGAATAATAAAACATTTAAAAAAACACCCAGGAGGCTAACAACACCTGGTATTTAATATTAAGGATGCCATTGTTTTCTTAACTGTTTAAAACAGTAATGTCTGTACAGTGAGAGTAGGCTGGTACCTGTCTGTAGGGACTGGGCCTTGTGTTCAGCCTCCTCCAACCTTGAGGACATGGAGTCCTGGCTCTCCTGGAGTTTCCTGCACAGGCAGACAGAAGGCGAGAAAGAGAGAGCAGGGAGCAAAGTCACAGACAGAGATACTGAGTCAGTAAATCGTTGGGTTCACACTTTGTGGCAACTGCAACTTTTCTCTATTTTCCCACCAATTCTGAAGTGTTTTCCCCACTAAAATCCTCCCCAACACAACCCACTCCTCATTAAGCAGCCCTATTAGGCAGGAATGTCTGGCCACTGGGGCACGCTGCACCCGGGGGGAGAGAGAGAGTGAGCGAGCGAGGCTTGAGTAAGAGAGCACGGAGAGGAGGGAGGAGAGGGGGGGGCGACAGAAACCACAAGGATAAAATAGATTCATTCTTAGCATATAAAAAGTTGGGCTCTGCTGAGAAATTGCCACTGCGTGTAAAAACATCAATAATCTAGCACAAAGACGGTCTTTATGGCACTCTTTGATGCCCCCCTTCTCCGCCAATCTGTCTCTCCTGTCATCTCTATTTTTCTGCCCGCTACTTCATCCTTTCATCTCACTCTCTCCCTCCTTCCCTCACTCCTTGCAGGATAAAATGCATCAGAGGTGCCATCCATTTACTGCCCCTCTCAGACACAGGAAGTCAGCTCTCTGCAGACAGGAAGGGGCCTATAAAACCCTGACGTAAAGGAAATACAGTTGGACAATTGATCTCCTAGAGTCTGTAAGGGGAAACAAACTTTAGCACAGCCTCACAACAAACAAGATGATTGACACGCCGGGAAAATACGAGGTCTGAAATGTACACTTTGTCAAGAGGAATCTAATAAAACAAGCTCGACAGGAACAGAGACCTTACTCTGAAGAGATTCTTAACAAGGGTTTAAATGAAAGTATTTAAATAAAGACAAAGTCATCTGAACTACTCCTAGCTGGCTAGCTCCTGTATATTAACACACACACACAAAAAACTCTTTTATAATTATGATGTATCACTCAACGGCGATCTTTGTCTGCAGCATACTGTAAATCAATCTGACTGACACCAACCTCAGCAGTTGTTTCAGGCATTAAAAACGACTACATAGAATGAATGTATCTGGTCCATTATGGTCTCTTTCGCTTTTGTAGGTAATATAGAGGCATCAGTGTCAATTTCAGTCCATTACAAAACTCAGTGAAAAACCCACAGTGACACTAAACAGCTAGTTCACCTTTATAAAAAGGTAAAAGCTGAAAAGTAGACATAAAGGAATGCAGTGTAAAACATGTATTTATATGTTTCTCATTGCTGTTCAAAGGACATGTATAGCCTTCCAACTCTTTGTAACTTAGCGTTAGAGCTGAAATCTGTATTCACTTCCAGTTCAGATATCAGTAACGTAGCTGCTGATTGGAGTGTAGTGTTACAGTAAAAAGAAGCTGTACAAGCTGTTTCTGTTGACTCTACAACCAAGTATTTTAATCCTCAGAGTTTCTAGGTTTCATTTACAAGCTAACAAAGACATTCAGGTTTGATACCTTTATTACCTGCTCTGTCTATGTGACAATCGGTCTCTAAACCCTGAGGCTGCACCATCAAATCACACCAGTGCTCACATTTATGTGTGGCTTTCATTCAAAAATATGAGAGTTATCAAGATATCCAAATTAAAGGACGACAGCTCGATTCTTCTTTAGCACTGAAAACCTTTAACTGTGGATCACATGATCACCGTTATGTTAGTCTTTCTTTACTGGAGCAATGAAGGAGGAAAGATTCTCAAGTTGGTAGTTAAATGAACTTGGGCAATAAATGTAATTAACTTTAGGTTGAATGGGTAACTTCTGACTTTAAAAGAAGTGTCTTAGGTCAGTCCGGCCTTTTGAAGTGTTTATACTCCTTTTCAATTGTGCGGAAAAGTTATTTGCATGTTTGTTTTATGCAGCAGCAATTTTCAGCTTTTCAAAAGCTGCGACAGGAAGCATCTGAAAATCACACATTTAAAAATGCAGTGAAGCTGTGAAAAGGAAGTAACTGTTGAATCAGAATAGACTGTATGGTTTATAAACTGAAGTGATACCTAAGGACTAATGTTGTCAAAGTCATTTGCGGTTTAGGTAAGTATTATCAGTCCATGTATATTTTCAGATGCTGTGTCAGCAATTGTTTAAAAAGTAGAGTTCATGGTGGCTAAGGCTGAAAATTGAGTCTGAGGTGTTGATTCCCATCGAGACCAGAATGGCAAGCACCCACATGACAAAAATGCAGGCATTGTCATTTTTGTCAGCTATCTTCCATTTATCTGCAAAAAGGGAGGCAATGTCAGGAAGTAATAAGCCACAATGTGTTGATTATTCTGATAACTATGAGGAAAGTCCAAGGACTGTTAGCAAAGGAAAAATTATATCATTAAGTTATGAATAGCTCTGCTAAATAAAGTCAAAAACTGTAGCCTTATCGTTCAGAGATCACAATGTCAGCAGTTCTGCCCGAGGGCACAATGATCCACAGGCGGAAAATGGCAAACTAATACAGAGGTTATTACTTGAGACACAGCACACACACACAAACACACAAAGTTGTACCTCTCCTTCTCTGCATAGTCGTTGTGTAGCTGGAGCTGCTTTTCTTGAGCCAGGTTCTCAGCTTGATTCTTCAGAGTCTGCTCGTACTCGCGGATTTTCTCCTTCAAGGCCTTTATGGTCACCTCTGGAGGAGATAAAATAGCAGAAAGTGGGACGTCAAGAGAAAATGAAGGATGAGTTTTTAAAAAAAAGGTAACGTGCAAATATATAGAAAACAGACAGCAGCGGTTTCCTCGATGTGATGAATGGCAATGTTGACGATATAGCTCTTGACGGAGGGGGCTTGACCTTTGCTTAAGGAACAGCGTTTCATATCCCGCATTCTTCCTCTGTCAGCACAGACCAAGGCCTCGGCCCCTATGGCTCCTGCCTAATCTTTACATCCTCGACCGGTATAGAATATTCACTATTCACCAACAGTAGATATGCTGTATTCATTAGGACTGCATTAGTGCTGAAACCCCATAACCTGCTGACGGCTGAGCTCTGTATGGGGCAGCCTGAAATAAATCTAACACATAACTGGGGTAATAAATAGGCCTCCGAGTGTGTGTGTGTGTGTGTGTGTGTGTTTCTCAGAGAAAGATATAAGTGAGTGAGACAATGATAAAGAGCAATGCTGCTTGCTGCCTTTGACTGAGGGCTCTTAGCACTTTGTGTGTGTGTGTGTGTGATTTAAACTCCAGTCTCACTGCTCTGACACATAATCAATAGAGGAGAGTCCCCTCAGAGCCCTCTTACCCCTTAACTGCTTAACTGAACTTTAAACATTTAGGTTGCGGGGATCAATGGCCCCTGCTCTCTCTATATTAGTGTGTGTGTGCGTGTACAAGTGTGCAGGCGAGTCCGTGTGTGCGTGCGTAACAGGAGTGGGAGTTCCACAGTGTGTTTTGGGGTTTAAATATCCCCCATCTATTGAGGCGGGGAAGGAGGGATAAAGGATGAGGGAACAGGAAAATCAATGGCAGAATGGAACCCTGCCGCTATCGAGCTGTTCCAATTAACTCTCGCTGAGGAGAGGGGGGATTCCAAAACATTCCCCCGTTCACACCCGCTTGTGCCTCCTTTTTTTTTTTTTTTGAGCTAAAATTACAGCATTTTTATTACCACGTCTCACTCATCTTGCTGCCTTTGTCAGTTTTTCCATCCCTCTTTACCCTGAGGTAGCCTGTCGTTTTTTATTCATGAAAGTCTGCCGCATGTTTTTTTTTCCTCCCCTGAAAATCCTATTTGAAAATGTAAAACCTTGTACATTTTTGGTGTGTTTCAAATATTTATGAGGCATTGAAATATGTTCAAATAAGCACAAAGCGTCTTGCTTTGAAAGGGGGCTTCTAAATATGTTTCTTTGACCTTACATTTGCACTTAAAAGTTGTGTGGATATGATTACCATGCAGACTTAATGGGGAAGTTATCCTCGAGCATATTAATCCATGTATTCCTGTTTTGATCAGTAAATAACGACTACTTTATTTTGTTTCACACAAAATGAGCTCCCTGATTTTGGTCATTAAATTACATATTTTTACTTGTTAGGAGATTGTATTGAAAAAGCATCAGTTAGACCATCTTCATGTAAATAATTAGAAAGCACAGCTCTCACTGTAGCTTTTAAAAAAAAGTTTTTCTGAAGGACATTTATCGACTACCTTAAGCTACATTTTTATTTTCATTTTTTAGTTATAGATTTTTTCCCCTCATCACTTTTAATGTGTCTGTATCGTTGCACCGGTCGGTCTGGCGGTGAGTTTGTGAGCCCCATGTACAGGGGCAGTAGTCCTTGAAGCAAGCGGCCTGGGTTCGAGTGCCACCTGTAGCTCCTTTCCCACATGCCATTTCCCCACTCTCACTCTCTTCCTTTATCCAACTCTGTCCACTGTCCTATCTGAATAAAGACATGAAGCCCGCTAAAATAAATCTTTAGAAAATGTGCCAGTGTCAGCAAAGTTAAACACTTTACACACCAGATGTGTAAATTATCCATTTAAATATAAACATATGCATGATGTCCTCTACCACTCAACGAAGCTACCTTCTTCATTGTATCTGTACTGTCTGTGGTTATAACTGGTTATAACAGTATATAAAAAAAATGTAACTTTAAATTACAAACTACATAATCCTAACAATATGCACATGAGTTTTTGAAGAGGGATTATGTGTGATTAATGGAGCATCCCACAACCATGACCCTCTCAAAGTGACACTCTTAATGTGTTGCCCTACATGTATCCGCGTCTCTAACCTTGGTTTTTGACCTCTGCAAACTCTTTGTTGTAGTCCTCCAGTGTCTCTCGAAGTTTGGTGTTCTCTGTCTCAATGTCGTGCATCCTCTGGAGCTTCAGCTGCAGCTGCTGAGCCAGCTCCAGCACAGGTACAGGATCTGGCAGAGACAAAACACACCACATTAACACACTGCAAAGCAGATTACACAAACAAGGGCGATGAGGTGTGCATCGTGAGCTAGGAATAACTACATTCAAGGCCCTGGGAGAGCGAGCGTGTGCCCTGGTAGAAGTGTCCTCGAGCAGGGCAATGAATCTCTTAACGGCCAAGAGAACTGTTCCAAGCAAACCACTGGCCTTTGATCTGCCCCTGTGGAGACCTACATGGGCCAGTAAGGACCAGAAATTGTCACAAGTACTAAGAATATTGAGATCAGGTGACTTATATCGACAGCTATAAGTCAGAGCTCAACTGAATAAAAGACCCCTCAGCTCCACCTCTTTGCCTGTTAAGCAGCTGACCAAAACTCAGGTGGAGATGGGCTTTAAAAGCCTCTGCAGAACCAGTGGGTGACCATTGTTTTATACAGTCAATAAATTTAATACGTGTCATACTCATTACATTTATACAGGCTTGACTCTTCAAAAGTGCCTTTAGTTTTTTAGGAACCTTTAATGACCAAATTGGAAATTGAACTGTTTATTGTATTTCATTCTCCTAAATAGTTGATATTGAGCTGAAACACGCAGCATTGTTCATGATGCACAGTAAATACTTGCACAATGTTCACTGATTAGAAAGAAAAGAACAGAACAAAGATATGGCTACAACAGTTTACACCATAGCGAGGTCATGGCTAGTATTAGAGTTTTGTATCAACAAAACTTTATCCATAAAAAGGTCATTGAATGATAAAATATCAACCACTGTGTTAGCGCTGACTACTGTCCCGTTTAGAGATGTTGTTTTTGGTTTGTTTTGTTTGTGCTGACACAGCAAGAGAGCTGGATAAGTGATTCAGAGACAGACATTAACAACACAGATTAACTGGGCTGTGATCAGTTAAAGTGTTCACTATGATGCAGCTTGAAAGCGAGTTAAAAAAAAAAAAAAGTGGAAAATGGGCGCCGACAGATGGACAAAGTGGAGCGGTAAAAAAAAAACGGCAAAGCAAAAGGTAAATAAGAGATTAAAGAAACAGAGACAGACAGAAGAAAGAAAACTTTCTGCAGGCATTTTACCAACATCTCTGTGAACACACGGCAGGGTTAACTGTCAGTGTGATGAAGAGAGGCCTGTCAGTCAGGCCAATCACATCTGATTGGTGCTCATGGGTGGCAGACTGGTGACAGGCAGCCAAGAGACGCGGGCGACGCTCATCAGCATGCCAGCTAAAAGAGCAGTTTGTGTGTGTGTGTGTTTATGTGTGTGTGTGTCGTACAGATAAGAGGAACTGACAGCTTACAGCTGGGGGTAAGTGTGTGTGTGTGTGTGTGTGTGTGTGTGTGTGTGTGTGTGTGTGTGTGTGTGTGTGTGTGTGTGTGTGTGTGTGTGTGTGTGTGCATGTATAAGTGTGTGTGCCTCATGTCTGACGCAGTTAGATATCTTAACTATGCTAATGAGAGATCAGCAGAGAACGATTGGGGAATTTCATGCTGATTTTGTGCTGTCAAGGTGACACACCATGCAGGGCTAAGCTTTGACACGCACAAAAACACATATACCTTGGCACAAACACAAGAATACACAGAATAAAACAGTAAAGAACAAAGCTAAATGCTCTGACTTTGGCCTCCAATGTGCCTAAACAACCTTGAAAATCAACTCTCTTTCGCTCTTATCAAGCCTTTGTCCTTCACTCACACACTCCTTTAACATATAAACACTACAGACCGTTAAAAGCTGTTTGACTCGTGGGCCATTGGTGCTGAGCACTCTTGCCAGACACCTTTAATCTAAAGCAGAGCACGCTGGGCTGACTAACCAGGCCTTCAGCTGATAGAAGACAGAACAAAACACACTGTTTCCTCTTTCAAAACTGCTGCATTAGTCAGGCTGGCCTGTGTCTGTGTGCGTGTGTGCATAAGGCATTACATCATTGTCTCGCTGCAAGTTAAGAATAGCCCCGTCAGAGCTGGCGCTGACTTATTGGGAGCAGTACAATCCAAAGATATTACTGTAGGTCTATCCATGTGGGAATATAATGACCTCCTTACGCTATAGATGAACTCAACTCCTCTCCCATTCCTGCATACGCGGCTCCTCAAGGGCTACAATACAGCTGAAAACCTCCAACCAGTAGCTGTGTGACTACGTGTGTTCTGTCAACTCCACCATGTTGCCTGTCCCTCCTCAGCCTCACTGTGCCAAACGGGCCTGCTCATGTGTGCACTTTGCCGCAACCAATCGTGGGCACACTTGTCATCCATATCAGGACGCACCTTCTGTGAAGACCCTCTAAAGGCTGCACCAGTGGGGATGAGATCTTGTGGGGACACATTAAGGCGTAACACACGCCTGGATGCACAGTGAGGGAGCACCAGAGGGAGGGCGTCATGTTTTTTTTCTTTTTCCCCTGTTGCTGCTGTCTGCATGAATAAAAGGGGGGGGGGGGGTGTCTCTGGATCATGTTTTATGGACTCTGGAGGTGTCTTGATGAACATAAAACACAGACCTACACAAGCATATATACTGGAAAAACCCTGTTTACATTCACCCTGTTTTCAATAGTTTCAGTTGATCCAAACACAAGTGTACACCGAAGACACATCTACATTCACACCTGTACTTTAAAGGGTTGTCACATTACCGAAACTTGATATATTAGTTAAAATCAGAAGTTGATACCACGGCAACATGAATATCAGTTCTAGGCACCTGAAATAAAAAAAAAAATCTTGTTTTAATTCACTTAAACTGCAAGCAAACTCCTGCACTTTGTATACATTGCACAAATACAATTGATCCGTTTTTCTGTTATGTCCTTGTTGGGTGCCAACAGTACATCTAAACTACCAAAGATATGTAGTCCAATGCATTTTATAACCACCACTGCAAGTGGTTTCAGTGATTGGATCACAATGCATCTTGATGAACATTCACATGTCCATGTGTGATCTAAACACAGATTTAAAGACCAGGTGTAAACAGGGTGAAAGACATTATACATGGTCTTACCTGGTACATCTATTATTTTCTTGTACACGTTCAAGAAAGCGGCCTCTGCTTCTTTACTTCTCTTACTCAATGCATCGATCTGCAAGGAGAGAAGAAGAAAAAAAGGTTAATTGTCAGTTATAGCATCCTACATCTGAGTGTCACATCCGCAAAGGCAACCCCATTCATTCCACAGTGAGACTAGTCTACATAGCTGTCTATCCGCACTATGCGTTGCTATGTTGCATGTGATCGGGGGTTGTCTCGACAGCAACTGGGTTGGTGTTTCCTTCCCGTGAAGTCAGTTCAGCTGTTCAGCCGATGACGGATGCGTTTCGTTTGCCGCGTGTCCACGTCCGCCTTTCCTTGGAGGTGTGTGCCTAAGTCTGTCTGTCAGTCTGTCCGTGAGTGTGTGTGTGTGTGTTTGTGTGTGAGAGCCTGTGTGTTAATGTGTGTGTGTTCGCTTTTCCCTCCAGCACGCTGACATCATTAAACAGCTGGCTCAGTCTTTCCAGCCACAGCAGGGGCAGATTATTCAGTCAGCTCTTAGCAGCAATACAGTGTGGATCCATTACTGATGCAACCATTAACACAAGAGGGCACGGCATGCATTCCATCACTGATATTATTGAAATGGACAGCATTAGAATGGATCCATAAGAGATTAATTCTAAATATCAAACAGGAGGTGGAATTTTAAACTGTTTTCAATGCTGAGACATGAGGCAGGAAAGCTCTACAATAGTCTCTGTGTCAAACTTCAATATGAGAAGCAGACAGAGTAGGCGAAAAACGCATCTGAAATCAAGACTAAATCGAAGGAAACAGATGCCAAATAAAGACATTCAGAGGGTGCTACTGTACTGGGCAGAGCTACAGCTGACTACTCTGGCTCACGCGCTCAGACTAAACAGCCCTGTGTTTCTCTTCCAACTCCTCCAGCACACTCGCTGAGAGAAAAGGAATAAAGACAAAAGCCTGTATAAGTCCAAATATAAAGTCTTCACATTCCCAGCCAAGCCAGTAGTGTAGTTGATGGGTGGTTTAGGGGTTCTTGCCACTGTAAACAGAGCGGGCTACATGTAATACTGCCTGGGCTCCTATGGGAACCTAATAAATCTCTTCACATGGCTTTGATTCATCTCTAGTTTTTTAGCCGCAAAACATCTGGCCCCGCGTAGGCTGGTGCCAGCACCCCTCCCTCTTTTTTCCCCTCTTTTATTTCTCCCTGTCTTTCTCTCTCTATGTCGAATTCTCCCTCTTGTCACTTCCATGTTCCCTGACTCATTTTTATTCCTTTCCCCTCAATATCTTTCAGTGTCAGTCTTTCTCACATGCTTCTCTGTCACACACTTATGTCTAACTGGCATGCACAGGCCTCCTGTCTTTCTCTCTCTCCCTCTAATACGCACACACGCGCACACGCACACACACACACACACACACACACACACACACACACACACATATATTGTCCTCGCTGCTATATCTCATTCTCACATCATGCTGCATCATGCACTTTACCCTCTTCATGTGCTGTGTGACATTGAGCGATCAGGATCCTCAAATGCAAGGCCACTAATGGGAGATTACTGATGCTGCTGAGCACTAATACCTCTCACACACCAACACTGAACCTGTTCATCAGTGTCCAAATGTGTGTGCGTGTGTGCGTGTGTGTTTTCGGATCAGAGAATGTGATCAGCGGTTTAGAGTAGCACAACCCAATCTCATGACAAAGAAGAAGAAGAAGAAGAAGAGTTCATAAAGCAAAAAAAGATCTGCCTATGGCGGCGAAGGAAGACGGCTGCGTGACTGTACGATGACTGGGCCAAGGTCAGTGGTACAGCAGCTTTATATAGCCCGACATGGGAGGCAGGAAATAGACATTTAATGTAGGACACACCCTACAGTTAGAGGCAGGTTAACTGCAGGACCAGAGCCATTAGAAGACCACCCAGGATTTGCAAATACAACCCTGCTGTTCCAAACTGCAGCTCTCTCAACCAATCCCAATGACATCTGCTATTACATGCTCCCCTGCCCCCATCACACACACACACACACACACTCACAAACAGAGACCAAGCAAAACAAATGAAGTGACACAAATGATACCTCACCAGTATCAGTGGGTTACTGATGAGAAGTGCTTGCAATTGCAAAAGGTATCCCTGACACATCCACACACACAAACACATATGCACATACGTCAGCACCTTGCGCCACCATCACTCAGCACCGCCTCGCTCCCCTATCTAACCCGTAGTGTGTGAAGGGCATCGGGCTGACCTGCATGTGTGCGTGCATGTGTGTGTGTGTGCGTGTGTGGCCCCAGTGGAGCCTGATAAGGGGCGGCTATGGGAAGCAGAGACTGAAGCCTTGGATAATGGAAAAGCTTATCTGATCGATGGACCAACATGAACACTGAGCATGCAACGTACACACACACACACACATAACCCGTTTACCAAACTGAGGCCTTGTGGAAACAGTACTATTATTGGTAATAATTATGACCTGAGGGCATCCACCTTTCAATGACAAAGATTAAACAAGAGTATCAAGACTTCCAAGTTCCTGGGCTTAAACTTTTTATTGTTCTGTCCAGGCTCTACACTCACTTAGTAAAGATTCAGACTCCTGGGTTAAATGTTTAAGGATGAGTTACTGTGGGAAATCCAACCGGAAGACCCTCTAGTTTTGGCTGCTGTCTTGTCCTTGATCAAAGCACCGAGGGGTATGCAAACAAAGCAAGGCTAAAATTACACATTCTCAAAGCTGCTCATGTTGGGGCACGCAAGCGCACAGAATAGTAGACTGATTGATGGGTTGCTTTAAGACTGGCGCGGGTGTACGGTATTATCTCAATAATCATAAGATAATGTCTTTCTAAGTTCCGCGACCACCCACAACGAGCCTCGGCGTGTTCTGCTGTGCACGCCGACCAAGGTGTGTCAACACAAGGATGGTGGAAACAGCTGACAAAGCCCCAATTATACTGCTGCTGTTTCTATTCTCCAAATAGACTGTGGATCATCAGCAGAACACAGAGTAACCATGAGAAATTACAGCATTTTTTACATAACCACTGGCTGTGGTTGCTGCTTCAACACAAGAATATGGAAAGTAACCCAGTGTTAAACTGTAATATTCTATGGCCAGTAGCAAAGCAGTCCTGTCACTACCCATTGAGATGATTTTGTTTGTGTGCGTGTCTGTGTGTGCGCTCAGGGAAGAGATACTGTTGGGCTGAATGTCCACCCACTCCAACCCCAAATAACGCCCCAGTCTAAACCAGCCACTTCCACTCCCACCCTCTGACTTTCACATATGGGAGTGAACTAGAAATGCACGGTTGCCAGAAAGGAGGAGTCATGATGGAAATAGGCCAAAATGATGGAGGAGGAGATAGAGGGGGAATAGTGGGAGTATGATGATATGGCACACACACACTCTCAAAAGTCACCTCTTATAGGTGAAGGAGCTGAAAAACTTTAGGCCCAACATTAAGGGGAAATGTGCTGCTTTAAATAAAAATGTTCCATGATTCACCAGATCAACATAAAATAATTGACAAATAACCCCACCAAATCATGCAGACAAACAAAGTCAGAGGAAATAGCATTCGGTGAGTTGTGACTGGATGGAGCCGGGGTTTTGTGGTGCCTTTTTTTTTTTGTTGCAGGATGCAATTTAAACACACCCTCGGGCTACAGGACTTCATGAATAGGACAGAAAATCAGGAGCAGAGCAGAGCAAAGAAAAGAGGGAGAGGTAAGAGGGGAAATGAGATAGTGGCAAGAGAACAGGCGATGGCAGGGAAGAGAAGAGAGGAGAGGAGAGGGAGACGATTTAAAAGAAAAGACGAAGGCAGAAAAAAAAAAAAAAGAGAGTGGTGCACAGAGAGGGAGCAAGACCGAGTCGACGAATGTCAAACAGGCTTTGTTGGAATGCTGTGCTTGAGCGTGTGTTTCTATCACAATGTCAATAAATGTTTACAATAACACACTCACCTCTCCTTGGAAGCTCTTGAGCAATGGGGCAACCTGTTTCCGAAAATCCTACAAAAATAAAGAGAAGAGGAGGTTAGCGAGCCTGAAAAATGAGATAATCCACAGATCAATTTTAATCCTCTAATAACAGTTAATACACAGGAACATGTGGCAGGGAAAAACCTACTGAGTTTTATACTAGCAGACCATGTTGTGATCAAATAATCAGTGAAATACAGAGATGGCTATCCTCGTCAGGGCCAATGAACGATGCGTGAGCGAGTGATGAATATGAGGGTAGGGAGGAGGTGGGTTTTGTACCCTGAGGTGTTCTGGCGGACTGTGTTTCTCATCCGAACAGGTGCAGCACCACCTGGGCCACCCAGAGGCACCACTAGTGCGTGTGAGATAGAGAGCGAGCGAGCCATAGAGTAGGCCTACAGTTAATGTAAATTTTCCCAGCGTACCAAGTTTTTACTATAAAGCAAATGCTTTTCATCCTGCTAGTCCCATTGCATGACTTTCCAGTACGAGTCAGCGGTTTCAGATTAGATAGCCAGTCGAGTATGTATCAGGGGAAAATGCAAATCACCATGCTGTTAGCTGAGCCTACATCCTGACTAACTGAAGTGGAGCGTACGGTAAAAAGCAGAATAGGACATTCTGTACAGGAACATTTGATTTGCACAGTTTGTGGACACACACATACTCACAAAACTGCCTAATGAAGATGTGAAGTAGGGCAGCGGCAGATGTGTGCTCAAGAGACTCAGCGCCTTTTAGAAACCTCCGCCTAAAAGCCTAACCGATGCTGCGGGGAGGCGTGCATCCCAAACTGACCTGGGACCAGTGTCTGGGGTCTGCCTAATCCCAGGTTGGTCCAGACAGCGCGCTTGTCTGGGGCTGAGGACAGGTCTTGACCTTGCTGACCCTGCCCCATTGTTACCTCATCAGGGGTCGCTGTGGCTGTTTGTCTGGGCCAATTCAATATTCCCCTGCTGGGGATAATGACCTCCTCTCCGCCCAGCAACCCGCCCCCTCCTCTCCTCTCCTCTCTCTCTCTCTCACACACACACACACACACACAGGACAAGTATGCACAAGTATACACAAACAAAAAAAAACCATCCACACCAAAAAAGTGGCAGTTCTGTCAGATGTTTTCTTCCTTCTATTAGTTAGACGCCCTGTACCAGCTCCTGTTTGAAATAACTTTTAATTTGACATGATTTTATTAACTTTATCTTGCGTTTCTTTTTACTGCTGCTAAATGCACATAAACATCTGTCTGTATTCGTGTTAAGTGTGCACAAGCTATTTCCATCTTACTCTTGTAAAGTTTCTGTCGCTGTTACTGACATAAATGTTAATGTTTATGTGTGGTCAGTTACCAAAAGAAGAAGTCTCTGTATAATGTAATGCAGTCTACTGCTGGAGTCTTCAAATAACTATTACTTGTTCATAATCACTATGTTCAACTTTTGATGAAACAGTATCTATTCAAGGAGCAGCCTCGAAACTTTGAGCAGATTTTAAACATTAGTCTGCATTTAGCTGTATTATTCTCGGTCATTTCTTCAGAATAGTTAATAGACTGTATTATATTAGATGTTTGTTTTCTAATCTTGCTTTTTTTAACTTTTATGGCATGATTACATCTGCAGCTTGATAAACACTCACACACCATATCCAGAGACAAACACATTCAAATAACATCAAGAGGCAAGACCTCAGCTCTGAACTCCTTTGGTCCACTCGCTGCTGCTCTGTCACCCCCCTCACCCCTCCCCCTCCACTTCCAAAGATTTATGACCATATAACATAACAATGCACACAGACACCATGGTCAATCTGTGTGTGTGTATATGTGTGTGTGTGTGTGTCTAGTGAGGGGAGTGGAAGGAGGGGGGGTCAGGCAGCGGGAGATGGATGGCTGGTGTGTGAGCTGCCGGCAGACAGCAGACAGGCCAGCCCGAGGAATCCTCCAGGGAGTATGGAACTCCCATTCCCTGTCTGTCTGCCCTGCAGCTAAACACAAACGTGTGTGTGTGCATGCGCGCGTGCGCACACAAAGTTGTTTTACTACCAGTGCCTCTGGCTAGCAATCTTTGGGACATTTTACAACCATTCCCACCCTTGACTTTATAACTGTGCGGTGGAGGAGTCTTGACTAACTCAAAGGAAATTAAGAAGTGGATGAATAATTCAGGCAACTTAGGAGGCACAGTGAGATGTAGTCTGAAAAAAAAAAAAACTCAACACTGTGTCAGTCCTAATGAATTATGAAAACTTTGTTTTCACGCTGCATTTCTTTGCACTACTTTCAAAATGCTACAAAAGCCTGTGTGTGCGTGCGTGTGTGTGCGTGTGCGTGTGTGTGCGTGGTGTGTGTGCATGTGTTATTATGCAGACCATGAGTGCAGTTCATGCCGAGTACAGCTCAGCAGACTAGACACAGTCAACGTGGGCCGGTCTCCTGGTTGTTGAATAATGGATCAGAGACGGACTCCCGCTCAGCCTAATGCAGTCTGATCTGATGTGACTGTGATCTCCGCTGACTGCTACAGACCACAGAGAGCTGACAGCCCGCTCTATAGGCTGGTCAACCACACACACACAGACCAAAAAGGCTGCTCCGTCAATGCGCACAAGACGATCTGGGAATTTTTAATCAAGCACAGGCCGTCACACGTTACAATCCGCCTGTTTGGTAGGCTGCTGTGATGCTTCTACACCTCCGAACGCCGGGAGTTTTTTAGTGCTGATTCCTATTGAGCCCGTTACAGCCCTGTAATGAATCCTGTCGCTCGTCTGGCCTGGCTCAGATTCCTCCTCCACATACCAGGAAGATGCCAGGGGCCACACAGACGCCAGAGGAGCCTTCCTAAATCACAGCCTTGTTACACTGATGAATGTGTGTGTCCTGTTCTGTGATCTAGGCTATCTGCCTCTGAGTGTTTGTGTGTGTGCGCCTGGGCTTCTCTGCATGTTTTCTTTGTGTGCTCTCCGTCTTTCTCCGTCTCCCTCTACCTCTAAGTGTGCTGCTAGATATGTGGTCATATCAGTTTAGAGATAAATTAGTGTGTTTTGCACATAGGTAGAGTTCCCTCTGGTGAATATTTCTCTATGGTGGGTGGGCTACAATCTGAAGTCAATAGTCACAATCCTCCTCCTGTGGTAACTATAATAGGCCTACTGTCAACTCCACCGAGAGTTGACAATTTTCTATCCACCGTCTATCCCGTTTATACATAATTCATACCACCATCAATAATTCACCATGGTGACATTACCAATAATAACACAACAATACTTTGTTTTCGCTGTGTGGTTTAAAACGCGTTGCCTTGGTAACGGAGATGAAACAAAATATTCCCAGGAGGAGCCTTGGGAACACAGGAACAGGACAGAATTCCCTCATGATCCCACTTAGTAGTGTTGTCACACTCTCTTTCTTTCTCTCCCTCCCTCCTGCTCCGACTCTCTCTCTGCTCCTTTCTTGCTGTCTCTTTCCGACACACACACACGCACACACACACGCGCGCTCACGGACCACACTTTCTGCACGCATAAAAAACTAGGTCAGATAATACAAACTCCTGAGGGGTTTTCTGTTTTGTCTCTTTAGGATTTCAGGGAAACTAATGGAGAGACTATTTTTGGGAGCCAAGCCCCGCATCTCCTGCACCGCTGTCTCCTCCTCCTCCTCTTGCTTTCTCAGTAAATAATCCCGACTAGGTTTACGAAGAGGAGAAGACACGCAGAGAAAACACAGAGGCTGAAAACTGGGATTGTCAAAAGATTGCAAAGCTGTGTGTCAGAGCGTGTCTGTGAATATCTGATTCTCTCACCTCTGGTGTGCTCTTCTTGAACTCGCGGCTCAGGTCGATTAGTTTCTTCCGGGACTGTTCGCTCTCGTCCTGTCTGTTGGCAAGCTGTGTGGCGGTGGCGTCTAGTTCTTTCTGCAACACAAACACACACATCTCTCAGTTTGTTTGCAAGAGAAGTATACATTTTATCACATTTATTATAACTGTTACTGTCACAATAACCTGCAGCATTAGTATTCAGGAAAACAAAACAGGGGCAGTTTTCTGTCAAGACAACAGACTCCTTGACGCATCTGGCGTGCTGCAGACTCTCTAATCATGCCTTAGCTGAACTCTGTATGTTGCGGCAGCAGAAAAAGAGCAGGAATAACCACAATACTGAGGTCCTGCCAAGTAAAACTTGTCTCCATCAGTAGTTTGTGTGCTACCAGCGCACGCAACACATATCTAAGCCATTCAGCCTGTCAGTCAATCAGCCAGCACTGTGTCGGCATGACAGCCTCTGTAGCGAAAGACTACTACTACTACTACAACACACATACACATGCAGTCAACAACAATTATTGACTGTCTGCACCAGACAAACCCTCCCCTCCCCACACCACAACAGCACAATTATCAACAACAGTGTTGTCATGACTGAGGCAGGGCCCGCCTTTATCCACATCCATTTTGCATTGTTATTAATAGCTATTTATGGGACTTCTTCCAGATGATGGGCCAAGTGCTGACATTAACAAGGCGTTCAGGCCTTGTAAAGATTGTATCTCCCTCTGCTGAGTGTGTGAGTGTTGCTGGATTATGTTTCTCTTGGATTCTTGCCTTCTGTCACGCTCACTCCTCCTTTATTTTCCCTCATTTTTCCGTACTCTCTTTTCAGATCATCTACTCACTCATTCAACCAGCAGTACCTCTTTTCCTCCCTTTAAAAATAAAAAAATAAAAAAAATCTCTCTTCTCCCTTCACTCCGCCTTTCCCCTTACCACCCCCCTCCCCTCCCCTCCCCTCCCCTCCCCTCCACCTCCTGTGAGGCCGCCCACCCCTGAGAGTGATTAAACGCTGCTGAAGGGCCGTTATGCTAACTAACACACTAATCATTTAATACACACATTACCACAGGGGCCCTTGTGGCTCAGTCTGCTGACAAGGTCCCAAAACACACTCACGCACGCATGCCCACCTCCCCACAACTCCAACACACACACACACACACACACACACGCACACACAAGAAAACACAACCCTCTATAGAAATAGTGTGATCAAGTTCTAATTAGGAGATTTTCCCCCGTCAGCGTTAAGTTTAATTCCCTGACCAGCCGTGATCTCGTTTTATCCACAAAGCGTGAAAAAAATATAACAAATGTTGGTTTGCTCCACTGTCCTCTGTGATGGATTTTACGCAGTAGCACAGGACGTTTAAAAAAAAAAACACAAAAAACTGCTCACTTGCTTACATGCCATCTTGCTCTCGCTGCCCATGGAGCAGTTGATGTAGCAGCCTGTCTGCCCATGGCCATGGAGCAGCTGCACTATCTGTTAGTGAACTCGAGCGTGTGCAGAAGCTTGTGCAACGCTTGATGAAAGGAGGAACCTAATAAATTTTAATCATGTTAAATTAATTGTCAAAAAAAACGGAACGCTCCAGTTCATGAACAGAGGTGTAATTATTATATTGGTAAAGATTAGCTACAGGAACTAGAGTCTAAAGCCCAGTTGGCTCAAGATACTGACAGATATTAGTCACTGGATGATATTAATCACAATATGATGTATTAAGGCCTCGAAGCTTAGTTTTCAAAATCCCTTTAATGTTATAAATCAGAGGATCGCTAATCTGAAATCAGAAGGCAGAGGCCGCAAACAGAACTTTTTTGGGGGAAATCCCAAGAGTAAAGACACATTTCCTTTAATCATCCAAACTTTGCCATTAAACACTTTTTTAAATTAATTAAAATTATAGGATCTACCTTTGTAGCAACTCTGACATGTACTCTCATACATTAAATACCATTTAAGTTTGTGTTGCGCATCCTAGCACACAATTAGGACTTCAGCTCGAAGAATGAAGTTTGAGCAACTTAATTTAAACATTATATATATATTTTTTATATTGTGTTGGTTTGTAAAGTAGGGATTGATCAGGATTTTTCAATATAGGATCATCTTTCTGTTGTTTCTCTTTTGTCAATGCACATTTCACAGAGTTTCTTGTTACGTTAAAAAACATGGTAAACAGTACTTCCATCTTCATAAATTATGCAAGAATCCTCTTTGATATGCAAATGAGCGTCAGGTTAATCTATTTTGAACATAATACTTTTCCAAAAACCAAAGTAATTGACCATAGTTGTGTGAGTGTATTCCTGTAAATTGATTAGTGAGCTCTGTTTTTGTGGGGGAAAAACCCTGAAATATCCACAGTCGTCCACTGGGGTTCTGCTTTAAGAGGTCATGTGCCAATCCCTGACGCCCTTGATTCTGCACAATCCCTTTCCAAAACCCTTCACATATCCCAATGTGCTACCAAATCCCCATTCCCCCACAAAAAATTCTCACTGCTAAGCTAAATAAACACATCACACATGGAAGAGGATTGATTCACTGCCAAGTGGGCAAGTAATTATGGGCATGGTCTCACTCTAAAAAAAAAAAAAAAGGACCCTCAGACCCAGAGAGGTTTTGACTATGCAGCAAACTGTGTGCCCACATCAGCAGACACAGGCAGACTTTACACTCATCTTGCTGATAGAGCGTAACATCCCAAAGTGCACAATCCCTGCTGCCCGCCCCTTGTTCACACACATCACATCTCGCTGACCATTAGGAGGCCAACACTAACTCCATTTTAAGCAACATATAAGCACAAAGGGCTGCCATGTTCAAGTGCTCTGCTAAAGAGTGGATTTCTTCGTAAAATAACACTGGACTGATCTGTGGTCAGTTTGCATATTACAAAAGTGCAGGATCACAAAGATAAGGTCATTTTTATCCTTACACTAATGTTTTTTTTTTAACGAACACGCTGATGGAAAACATCTCTAAGAAGATGCTATTTTAAAAAACAAACAAACTTAAAAACTGCTTGACACAGGCTTTTTTTAAGGGTGAGATAAAATAATGATTCTGCAATGTATCATAGTCTTGACTAGTGTGATACAATTATTGAAAAGTTGGGCAAAATATCGATGTTTTACTTTATTTAAAAAAAATATGACGCTCTAAATAGATTTCCGTGGTGCTTTGACGTTCTGCGTCTCTACTTCGTGGCCCCCACAAGGAGCCACCCATGATAGGAATGAGGGTTGGAGAAGCCATTCCAAAGAAGCTGACATCGAGATCATGTCCCACAGTGAGAAAAATAAGTTAGGATGTGAAGCATGTTAAGATGAGGGGCATTTTGTATTCTTCAGTTTACCAGATTTTGTGATGTATCATTACATAATTGTCTTACGTATATCAATTATTGTAGAATCGCTGTCTTGTGATATGAACATTACAGTAGGCCACTTGTTGAGCATCGTATCATATCGCATCGTATTGTGAGATACCCTGCGATTCCCACAGCCAGGCTTTTTTCTTGCCGGTAATATTCAGCCCATAATGAAAAAAAGGTTGATAATACTCTATGACATTTGGCCGTAACAGTACTAAGGACAACCTGTTTGAATTCTTTGCAGGGAGGACAGTCAAACCCCAAATTGGTCCGGCAACTTCATCATCGCTAGCAGCCATGTCACTGTATTTATTAGCATCCTGACTAAAGATCGCAGATTAACAGATTGAATAGAAAGTTTTTTTTTCTATGCAAAAACCTGAACCTGTTTTTTTTAATTGACAGGATTTTGCATCTGTCACTGTCATTCTAAAGTCATGTCAGTGAATTCAAAAGGTAGCACCGTTCATAGACAGGATGGCCAAAAGGGTAATCGCTGTAACATGACCTTTTTCAAAACACAACTCAGCAATAACCCACATCAGAACATCCCTAATGAGACCAAGATATGTTGATACAAAGTTTACAACTAGGAGTCATTTATTACAGGCTTAATTTGGAATTTAACGCGCTGCATCCGACAACAGTGAGACAATTCTGCTATTTTGTTTATTTTTTGCAAGTTTCAAACTTTTTGGAGAGGAATACTGTTAACTTTGGGCAAGGCTGCACTACAGGGGCTCTGCCATCTGGCATACCATGGGGATTTTCTTCCTATCAGCTTTGACATCAATGATTGACATCATGCTAGTCTGATAAACCTTCCAAATTAACATGTTTGACAAGGGGCCAAGGCACGAGTGAAGAAACTAATTAACAAAATCCAAAAACATGCTAATTAGGGGAGTCTATAGACCACAATACATGACTAATGTACTGACAAGAAAAGTCATTAATTTTCATCGGCAGAGTTCAAATACCAGCACTTGTGTTGATGTTATAATGCTATGCCTGCAGTGCACAGCGGAGCACCAAGCAACATTTATGAAAAACTTGTGTACTCTGTGTAGGGCCTTCAGGCTCAGTTTCCGAGGTCAGCACTATGTGGGTCTCTCCTTGGCCTTACTTTGAAATATTCTTCTTTTTAAATCTCAAAAACTGTTCAATGTTCTGCTGAATTAATTTGTTTAACCGCTCACATTAACTCCATAGCTGTTTCTGAATCTGGCTGTGCCTGGTTCGGACTGCAGTGTCTAGTTTAGCAGACGTTGGAACATGGCAGTGTGCAGGGGAGCATTAAGCAGGGCTGTAATGTCTCTGTGATTGCTGTAACAGCCCTGCTTGGCTTGGCTGTACTGGCCCACAGCAGCAGTCCCTGTCCTGGTTCATTTGGTCGTCTGGTCAGCTGTAAAGACGATTGGAACAGATTGCCAACACTCCCTAGAGAGACTTCAACACCGACTTGGCCAAGAAGCCTCCCGCACGCTGCTCCACACGCGTGAGCTCTCACATGAGTGCACAGACAGGCCGCGGCAGTAACTTGGGGAGCCCAGTCTTTCCACATTCTTTTTGAACTCTGTTTCAAATAGAGGAAGTCCGCTAACATGTTCCCCGAGCGAAATTTGGCATGGTGAGCTGTGTTCGCAGCAAGGAGGGTATGCTGGGCCAAAGGAAAATGAGTATCTCTGAGTCCTA